AAAAACTAAAAAGACTAAAAAAGGGGGAGGGGGTTCACACCAGCCCTGCTTGATGGAAAAGAAAAGTTTTCAGGGCACGGCGAAAGACCCGGAGATCCGATATCCTTCGTATCTCCGGGGGCAAATCGTTCCAGAGGGCAGGAACTGCCACAGAGAAGGCCCTCCCCCTGGGGGTCACCAGCTGACATTGCCTGGCTGACGGCACCCTGAGGAGTCCCTCTCTGTGGGCGCGTACTGGTCGGTGGGAGGCTATCGGCGGCAGAAGGATGGATTTTAACATCCATCTGCTTACAAAACAAGCATATTCAGCCCTTTTTCTAAGTCAGGGGTGTCAAATTGGCGGTCCGCAGGCTGGATGCGTCATGTACAGGCCACACCCACCTCAGCTTTGCAAATGGGAAAAACATAGTGAAACGTCACGTGACGGCAAAAAGACGTCACGAGTTTGACATCCATATTCTAAGTACTTTATTTTTTCTACCTATCCCCTGTTGTTCTCAATCACTACTGCTACTTTTCACACCGATGCATCCACATCCACTTATATTTTTTAAAAATCGGCCACAATGATAGTAGTAATCCAGACCAAGAAACATGACCAGATCAACAAACCTCAGAAGGTTGCAAACAGAGCTGAATATATTGCTATTAAATATTTTGACATATGATGCCAATTATCTGAGTTGCTTATTATAGTCCACAAATTTGGATTTTTATTCTTTCTCTTGTAATACACAGGGTGTATTATATTATTATATTATATAATATAATTGTACTTACATTATGATATAATTGTATATTATTGTATTTAGAAGTTTTCAAAGAATTCAAAGGAAAAAGCAAGTGCTTAGAAGAAAATGATAACCAATTTGAGCAGTTCATGTAGTGTTTATAACACACAGTCTATAGGGTCTTTTTTATACTCCTTGTACATATGAAGGTATCAGCATTCAATAAGCACTTTTCATACCATATTTCTTTATGATTAACTTATGATTTGGGCTCCAATATGTTGCCATGCTAACTATTTATTGAAGTTACAATTCTAAAAACAGATTTTTAATTTGTTTGTTCAACAACAAAATCACTCTAAATCAGGGGTCAGCAACCTGCAGCTCCGGAGCCGCATGCGGCTCTTTGGGCCCTCTGCTGTGGCTCTCTGTCAGGTGATCCCACCACTGGCTGGCCCCACCCCTTGCCCTCCCCTCCCAGTCACTCCTCACCTGGCCTGAGAAGGTAAGGGGATGGAGAAGCGGCCAGGGCAGAGACAGAGAGATACAGAGAGAGAGGAGGGAGTGGGGGGGAGAGAGAGGGAGTGGAGAAAGAGATATGTCAAAAGGATTTTGTGGTTCCTGGTGTTTTTTAACAACTGGTTCTCTGCCCTAATGACCGGCTGGGTAGGTGTGGCTAGTGGGAGTCATGTGACTGGTGGAAGTGAGTGACATCAAGTTGGCCACACCCACCAAGGTTCTGTGGCTCCTGGTGTTTTCTTTTCTGTGGGAAATGGCTCTTTGAGTATTTAAGGTTGCAGACCCCTGCTCTAAATGAATGAAACCAATTGTAATGTGTGCATTTCCCCACAGTCAAATGCATATTACCTAACATGAATGGTTGATTTCTTGAATTTGCACTATTAATCACATTATTAAAATTCTAGACCTGGAAGAAAGGGATCCATTGTGATCATCAATTCTAAACCTCTAACCAGCATAAGAATACAACTTAAAGCATTCCTATTGGGGAAGCTGTCCAACCTGCCTGAAGACATCTAATAATGTTGTCATCTCACAGTTCAAGCATCCAGTATCTATGCTCTGAATCAGTAGTGGGTTCCTCTTACCTTTGCTACCGGTTCAGATCTGGGAGCATGCGCGGCGCTTCTGCACATGCGCCGAGCATCCATGATGATGTCTGGGCGGGTGGGCGGAGCCTCCTGCTGCCGCCACTACCGGTTCACTCAAACCGGTAGAAACCCACTACTGCTGTGAATTATTTTTAACTTGAAATTACCACTATTTCTCCATTTTAGCTACTGCCAAGCTACACTGGTTCTCTGAGGCTGTCATGAAACCACCTTCTTTACCACATATCCTCAAAAAGGAAAGGTGGATGAAAATTGTCTAATATGGTGGGACCCAAGGATGGCTTCTTAAGAAGGGGTGAATCAAAGCCTCCTTTAGAGATGAAGGAAAAAAGTCCCTCATTAAAAGAATTACACTAGAACCCACTCAGGCGACACACACACACACACACACACACACACACACACACACACACACCGCTTTAACAAGCCAGGAGGGGCATGGATCTAGAGAATCAGTGGCTGAGCTCACAGTCCTATGTTTATTGCTGAATTACTGCCAAATCTCCATTACTGTCCAAAGGCCATGGCATTATGGTGTACCAACATTATGGTGCCTGGAAGGACGGAACGTGTTCAGAAAATTCATGGAACAGTAGATTCTAGCACACACAGCTCAATCACAGCATAGCACGGGTTAAAGAAAAGTTAAGAATCTTGGAATTACAGTTTACTGCGTGCACTAGACCATGATTATAATCCTCTCCAATGCATAACCTCCTCATTAGAAAATAAAAAGTGTTGTTCATTTTCAGTTACTCTAAAGGTATTAACATGCCATCCATACATCCTGTTTGACTGTGATTTTATCCATTTGTGGAGGGCAACGTTTCCTTTGAGTTGAACTCAACTCTTTGTAACACAAAAAATGTTTCACGAGAGCTATGTTGACTCTTGGTTTTTATTAGAAATCACTTATAACAAAGAATTAGGCTTTTGGACAAAGACATTATCGTGTGAATAATATGCCCTCATATAGATATGGACCACACCACTTCCATGTTTAGCTTCTGAGAAATAAATATCTTGCTCTGGTAGACAACATTGAGGACATGTTAAGTTTTGGATCGGTTCCTTTTGGATGGTAACATTATGTTTTGTTGTTCTCATGCTTATTTTTGCTCAAATCTGTTTGGAGTGAAGTAATATAGAAATATCAATAATAAAAATATGAATATATTCAAATTATCAAGATCTAATAATGGGAAGTAGTTTATTATTAAAATAAACAAATGTGTATTGGCAAAGTTTCTGAATCAAAATGTATTCATCATTTTCATAGTATATATTGAGTACATTCTGCCAAGGAATCCTCTCATCTTAATATATACAGTATATATATCTATCTAAAAATAATTGCAGGCACCTAGAGGCATATGTTTTATTCATTTAAAATGATATATAACTTGATTAATTCCCAGGACAATGTCATTAATCATTCTCTGACAAGCTCCTCATACTGCTGAGGAAATGCTATTGTACTTTTTCCCCTTGTTTTTACTTTTTTGGAGAATAATTTAACTCCTTACAGATATACATTGAACACAATTTTAGCATTTGACACAGAGGGGATAAGTTTAGACTGGGAATGGTTTTTCTTGTCCTCAAGTCTTAACAGCTGAACCCCAATACATGTTTACATTATGTGTGGCTGGCTATTCTGTGATCTCAGTTGGTTTGTTCTTCACTTTATCCTTCTGCAACATGAGTTTTTTGCTCTGGTCTCGACCTATTATGGGGATGCCACATATGGCATTTGTGTCAGTAGGGAATCTCTTGAGCAAATTTTCAACACGGAAACACTTTAACTTTCAGTTCCACCGTAGCATTAATTAAAACACTGAAGATAATTTTTCAAGATTAACACTACATCTTGAGGCAGCTGTTTCCCATCCTGCCTCCAGGATCCTCGTCTCTCCCCTCTTTTCTGGATTATGGGGTTTCCAGAACGTATAAGACAGGGGTGTCAAATCCAAGGCCCACAGGCCGAATCTGGCATGCAGGGTGCTTAGATTTGCCCAGTGGGCCCGCCCTGGAAACAGCAAAGGACCGGCCCGTGTGCCTCTGCCAGCGAAAATGGAGCTCAGGAGGGCCATATGCAGGCCTCCTGGGCTCCGTTTCCGGCCATGACGGCCTCCTGCAGTCCTCTGCCAATGAAAACGGAGCTTGGGAAGGCCACATGCAGCTCTCCCAGGCTCAGTTTTCACTGGCAGAGACCTGCAGGAAGCCGTTGTGGTCGGAAACGGAGCCTCAATGAGTGACGTTGAGCTGGCCACACCCACCCTGGCCATGCCCACCCGGTCCCCTGAGGTCAAACATAACCCTGATGCAGCCCTCAATGAAATTGAGTTTGACACACCCCTGGTATAAGATAACTAATGGCACAGCACAGGGACAGTGACTCGTGTCTTAAATTGTGTTTGTCATTTCCTTATGTTATACATGCATGCCATATAAAATACAAATTAGGCAATGTATTGTGCATAAAGGATTGGAGTTATTCAGAAGCTCGGATCAGCTCTGAATAAAAAAAAAAAATCCAAGCCCCTTTCATAAGAAAAGGAAGGAAAATGTTATGACTTCAAATTTTGGAAATTATAGACCAGTGCCACTGCAACGGAAGTGCTATGAACTGACTAATAGCACTGCTAAATTAGAGCTATTAAAATATGCAAAAGATAAATAAATGCCTCAGTTAGAATTTATGGAATGGTTTTTAATTCTTCTACTCAGTCTTGAATTAGAGCATAATAAAACACCTATACCTTTTCCTTCTCAGCCTGTTTCTATGCATGTGATTTTACTTAAGGCAGATAGAAAGATGAATTGGAAAGATTTAATTACCCTATTGAATGAAATGTTATGGAAATTGTATATATATTTTTTTTTTATTTTAAAAATGGCATATTCTCCCTCTCTTGATCTTATGACAGTTGAGGAAATACTCTTAAGTGGGAGCCTTCCAAAACCAGAGAACCCTCATATGGGGGAGTCAACCATTAGTTTGCACTTGCTCAAAGAAAAGTCTCGCCTTAATTCTGCCATTTCTCTTAAAGCTCTGGCTTGTCTTATATGTTTTACATTCATTACTTTACATTAATTTTCTCTAGACAAAATAAAGTGTTGTACTACATTGCAGCCTCACTGTTAGGAATGAAGACAGAGGGGACAGCACAGGAAGACCAACACACACAAGCAAACTGGAGAGCATCCAGGTCATCGAAGAGTGGTGAGTTTTTCATTTGTATTGTCTGGGGCAGGGGTCAGCAACCTGCGGCTCTGGAGCCGCATGTGGCTCTTTCACCCCTCTGCTGCGGCTCCCTGTCGCTCAAAATATGCGTCACAACCGCCAATGTGCGACACCCGCCGGCTTGCGATTTATTGAGCATTTCAACCCCCGGCAGGCCAACCATGGATAAATCCAAGAAAAGAAAAGTTTCGGAAGAAAACAGAACGTTTAATTCAACTACATATGCTAGTTTTGTGGCTGTGCAAGAAATAGTCAGGCACGGGAAGGATTTTGTGGCTCTCAGTGTTTTCTTTTCTGTGGAAAACGGGTCCAAATGGCTCTTTGAGTGTTTAAGGTTGCAGACGCCTGATCTGGGGAAAGTGCTGAGGTTCATTCTTACTTACTCTCTCCTTGTTTAGCGACTATATTCCAATTCAGTTTTTAAGTAAAATGGTCATAAGTGAACATATGACAGAGAGAGAGAGAGAGCTGGGGAGAAGGAGGATGAAGAGAGGAAGAGGAAGGGAGTGGGGAGAGAGAAAGAGAGAGATGCTGGGGAGATCCCAGGTTGCTATTGTCTCATTCAGATAAAGTTCTCTCAACTTCTTTTATTTATTTATTTATTCAATTTGTATGCCGCCCCTCTCCGAAGACTCAGGGCGGCTCACAATGCATTTAAAATCATTATAAAAAAACATTTAAAAATTAAAAACATGAAAAACATTAAAACTCATTCACACCATTCATGGGCGGATCTCGCCTGATTGCAAGAGCGAGATCAATGGTCCCAGGCCTGCCGAAAAAGCCAGGTCTCCACCGCTTTTCGGAAGGCCAATAGGGTGGGGATGGTCCGGACCCTAGGAGGTAACTGGTTCCAGAGAGCTGGGGCAGCCACAGAGGAGGCCCTCCCCCGTGGGCCCGCCAGCCGGCATTGTTTAGCTGATGGGCCCGCGGGGGAAAGCCTTTATCTAAAGGAGACAAAAGCAACTTGGGATCATATCCTGTGGCTGACCTGTTTATTCACCATTTCTGTCCCCTCAAAAGGGGGAGAGCTTGCTTATATCAACTGCAGTGTCTCTTCCTGAGCTACTTTTCTCCATGGCAAAGTGTTTTCTTAAGAAATACTAATGGGAAGTTAACAAGTTGAGCTCTGTGACCTTAATTAGTCGATTAGAACATTCCTGCCTCCCACTACTGTCTGAAACTGATCAGGCCTTAATCAGTTTCACACTGAAGGCTCTTGTTGTCATTAATGGGCACACTGGTTAGAAAATGATTTTTTTATTACTCTTTGCAAATAGCCACTATCTAAAGTAGTTGTAAATGAGGAGTGGCTCTATGCCTTACCTGATCTTAAATCCACAGAGATTTTACTATGCATGTGCATACATAAGAAAAAGTCATAAAATTGCCTTATGTAACTGAAATGTCCCAAACCAGAATAAGCTTTTCTTTCATAACAATAAAAGAGCAATTAAGGCATAGAAGAAGACATAGGTACTGTACCAGGAGTGAAATCCAGCAGGTTCTGACAGGTTCTGGAGAACCGGTAGCAAAAATTTTGAGCAGTTCGGAGAATCGGCAAATACCACTAGAGTTGGGTGGGAATGGAGATTTTGCAATATCCTTTCCCCCCCCCCGGGTGGGTTCTAAATTTTTTTTATTACCGGTTCTGTGGGCATGGCTTATTTTGTGGGCGTGGCTTGATGGTCATGTGACAATTCTTTAGGATTTAGCAGAGGTACTACCAGTTTTTAACTGCTTGCAGAGCTGTACCGGTCTACTCATTTGTTTTTGGAGGCACTGGTCTACCCATTTATTTTTGCAGGCACCGGTCTACTCATTTGTTTTCTTCTAACACTGATCAGCTGTAGGGTGGCCCTTTGAAGCCCTGTGGCAAGAGTTTAAACAGTTTTTTTCCCTCTAGACGATCAGCTGGGACTCAGGAGGCAGCAATAGATTGGGGGCGGGGCCAAATAAAAGGTAAGAATAATGCAGGGGGAACTGCTTCGGTGATGTCATATCGTCACGGCTACTGGCTCGGCGGAACCGGGCAGAACCAGGAGGAACCCACTACTGCTTCCCCCAGGAGTGGGGAGGGAATGGGGATTTTGCAGTAACCTTCCCCTGCCACGCCCACCAAGCCACACCACACCCACCAAGCCATGCCCACAGAACCAGTAGTAAAAGAATTTAGATTTCACCACTGTACTGTACATACATACAACCACATACAATGGTTTGTTAAATAGCTTACTTTAAAATATGCCCATAAGAATGGAGGAAGTATCTACAATTCACAGAGATTTTATTTAAACAATGTTATAAGTTTTTCAGGTGAGATTTTGGGAAAGCAGGAAGCATTTATATCACTTTTGTAGCATAAAAAGTCTCAACATTTCTTCCTCAGACAGAGAATTGCTCATCATTCACTCCATTAAATTATAACAGTTCTCATTTTGGTGCATTCACTTCTAATTTGTGTTTATGGGCATAATTCTGCAATATTCAGCAATATTAATATCCCTGTGATACATTTTCCAATTGTAGCTGCTTTTTTAAAGCCACTTGTCTTGAAGTGAAATTGTTGTGTGTTTACAATTTTCATTCCTAGTTTTCTCTGGCTTTGCACTCTATCACAGTGCCATCTTGTGGTCAAAGTATGTTTCTGTAATACTGTGTCTAATTTCAAAGAAGTTCCCTATTATCTACTGATTCATTTTTTTGATCCTTTATTGGATAATGTATTTCTCCACACAAATAGATGATATACATTTTCAAATGCATTCATACATATAACAGAAGTCCTGATATAAGTGTGTGTGCGCGTGCGTGCACACGCGCATGTGTAAAGCCTCAAATCAAGCTTGACTATAAAGACACATCCTTGCTATTTTCTTGACAGCAATAAGAAACTGATTCTCCCATGCCTCTTTTCAGGTTATTCTAACTTCTCAGTTTAAGTTACATGCCTGGAATTCCATTGTAACCTCTCATCCAAGTATGAACGAGAGTCAACTGTGTTTAGTTTCTAAATCCAAACAAATGTTAGGCAATTATTGCCACCTACTACTGTGAGACATTTTTTATAGACTGCATACTACAGCATAAATTACTAACTAAAGGAGAAGGGGATGTCAGAGGAAGAGACAGTTATATAATATCATCAACACAATGAGCATGAATTTAGGCAAATTCTGGGAGACAGTGGAGGACACAGGGAGGGGGACTGGCATGCTATGGTCCATGGTATCAAAGAGTTGGACACGACTTAGCAACTGAACAACAGTTCTGTCTTCTTTGTTGCCAGTTTATCATGAGAGTATTTGTGCTTCAGGTTTTTTTCTTAGAATGTTTTAAATGTTAAAATAAAAAGATTTGTATCTTCTTATATAGAGATTTTGCACAGTTTTCCTAGTGTATATAAATATCCATTTCTGAAGAATTTTTTATTTAAAAAAACACAAAATGTCCCGCTTGTCCTTTGACACTTCAATTCCGCAAATAAAGACTTTAAAAATATAAATGCCCTCCAATTTAAACTATTTATAAAAGGTATATCTGCAGCTGTTTGCACACAGCCTTCATTATCATACTTTTGAAAAGATTTTTTGAACTGATTTTTGATCTGGGAACCATAAACAACAGCAAAGTCTGATGTATAAAAGCATCCAAATTCAGAAACTCATCACACTATAAATAATATGATGTCAGTATGCCATTATAAAGTCTGATAGGAACAAAGCATACAAATTTGCTCCCAATTGAATAAATAATGATTGTTTTATGTATCTTTAAGTTCTCCTGTCCCTATCAATTGATCTGTGATTTTTTTTTATCCCGATAATTCCACTGCTAACCAACGATAGCAATAATTGGCCAGTAGGTGCCAATAAACAGAAGAAACAAAGATCAATGTGCCAAAGAAACCATAAATTATTTATTTAAAGATTTGCAATCCATATTTGGATTATAAAATTGATTTTAAAAACACGAACAACTGTAAGTATATAAAAATATATAATGAATGTTATCAAACATACATAAAGTAAATATATTGCACATCATCAATCTTTCCACTTCTTTTAATTATAAAATATATATTTTCTCCCTAAATAAAAGGAAGATGTTTTATTTTTCATTAAAAGCCAAGATAAACAGATCAAAGCAGAGGGACACATTAAAAGATATTTGTTACAAAAACAATGTCTGAAGCATTTAGCATTAAGGAATTTCTCATCATTCCATCATGAATTCAATCGGGAATTAATCCAGGATGTTCTTGGTCACAGTAGTATATCTCTCTCAGGACAAATGGTAGCCGGAAAGGATCAGTGAGTCTATAAACTACACAATATGAACTAAGCCATAAGTTGCATAGATATGATTTATAGGCTGGGTACAATTTTTCAAGTCGTCTTGAGGCATGCATTGGTTGGTTCTCACTGTTGATATGGGTGTTAAAGCTAATCTGAATAGGGTTCCAGGTGCACAATAATGTTTTAAATTAGCATTCCAAGCATAGCCCAAGATGAAGGAAGGGTGCTTAATTTGAGGATGAAGTGGTGGCTCTCTAAATAAAGAGAACCATGGGGATATTGGGTCAATATGAAAAAGAAACAGCTGCATGTTAAATATTCATTATCTAACAAGTGTTTTTGGTAGCTTACTGGGATTTCTCTTTCCATTGTTATCTATCTTTCTTTCTTTCTTTCTTTCTTTCTTTCTTTCTTTCTTTCTTTCTATCTCTTTCTTTCCTTCCTTGTTTCCTTCCTTCCTCTGCTGTTTCTACCACGTATTCTTGCTGAAAAGAAGTAAAAGGCAACCCATGAGGCCAAAAATTCCAAACAGCCTTATAATGTTTCATTGGTGCATTCTTGAAAGAGAATTTGTGATTAGACTTGAACTTTGAGGCTGATGCAGGAGCAATTTCACTGATTTGATGCAAATGTATTTTGGTGGGCTTTGACTCATAATTCACAGTGCTTGGAGCATGTTTCCTGCACAGTCTATTATTTTTTAATCCAGTTGGAAGAAAGAGAAATCACTTTCAGAGCCTCTTCAAAGGAAAGTTAGAAGGTGGTTCAGGTACGAGTTCATGTCCTGCATTTCGCTATAAAGTCTTCCAGTGCTGTTTTTTGACTTCCCGTGCCCATTAAATCCCAAAGAAATATATTAGCAGGCAGCCCTTCTAATGTCTTGTGTTTTTGGCAGTCAGGCAAGTTGCGAAGTAGTGGAAAAATAGCTAATAAGAAGTAAAAAAAAAAAAAACCCACTACCAACATACTCTACTGCCTCACAACAATAAAGTAAACTCAAAAATACAACTAAAAGAAATTGAAGGATAGTGAGGGATAGTGGTGAAGACATTGGACTGGCAACAGGGAAATCTAGAGTCTAGTGCAGGAGAATGATGGCCCTTTTATGACTTGTGGTCTCCAACTCCCAGAATTCCTGAGCCAGCAACACAAGTCATGAAGCAACACAAGTCATGAAGTCCACAAGTCATAAAAAGGCCATCATTCTCCACCTCTGGTCTAGTGCATCCTCAGCCACAGAAATTCTCTGAATGACTTTGGGCCAGCCACCATCTCACTCAGCCCAATCTACCTCTCACAGGGTGATTCTTGTGGGGGAAAAATAGGAAGGAGGAGTGCTTGGAAGGCCCTGAGTTCCTGAACAAGAGGCAGAGGGATGTTTCACAAATAAATGTTTGGTAGGGGAAAATACTTTGGAGAAATTTGAAGACATTTCAATCTAGTATTATTATTATTAAACAAAATCAAATGGAAAATAAACAGCATTCAGTGAAGTTGTAGACTACACAGAGTGGCCCAGAAGATATGAATTCTAGAGAAACAAGTGAGTTGTAACTGGCTTAAACAATATGGCTACTTCAGGTCTCAGGTTTCAACCTTATGTCTACTTCATTGGGATAAATCCCATTAAACAATATAAGACCAGCTGCAAATCAAACCACTGTGTAACAATATTTGTATTGGTCTGACACTTTGGGTATTGTCTTTGTGATTGCTATTTTTTGCAGCCAAAATCCCACCCCTGATGAAATTCTATCTTGGGCTCAGAATTTTGACAAGATGATGAAAACAGCAGCCGGTAGGAATATTTTCAGAGAATTTCTTCGAACAGAGTATAGCGAAGAGAACCTCCTATTCTGGTTAGCATGTGAAGACCTGAAAAAAGAACAGAACAAGGATGCTATTGAAGAAAAATCCAGACTTATATACGAAGACTACATCTCTATACTATCGCCAAAAGAGGTAGTCTTTTAAAACCCACCAAAGAATATTGGATGTGCATAATGCTCTGTTTGCATGTACAGTGTGATACGTTTAGAATATTTCTTGCCACCAGAAATCTCTGTCAGAAAACATTACCATAGGATGGATAGTAGGATTGGGATAATGGTTGGGATAATCCTAGATGTTAAGCTAAATTCTAAACTATCTTCAGCCATGGAAACATGTTTGTGTGTGTGTGTGTGTGTGTGTGTGTGTGTGTGTGTGTGTGTTTAATATGTGTATAGTAGGATCTTTGCAATGGATCCAGAATTTCCATGAGCAAAACTCTGAAGTAAGGATAAACAACTTTCAGCTAATCCTTCCTCCATCTGCCTTTAAGATAAAGGTAAAGGTTCCTCTCACACATATGTACTAGTCGTTCCCAACTCTAGGGGGTGGTGTTCCCAAAAACCTCTTTTATTGCAATAGCTGTGAATTACTTTCATTCACAGCTGAGTCCCAATTAGTTGCAAAAAGTCCTTCAGGAGAAGTCCTTCGGGATAATCACCCACCTTTATCTCCCTTGACACGCTGCCAAAGACCTACTTGGCAAAGCCACACGGAGTCCAGAATCAAACAGAGATGCCGACTGGGAACAGAATTAACAACATTGCTTTCCTGCAAAGGGCCCACGTGCCTTTGCTCCTCTTTTAAGCCTTATGGGAGGGGCCAATCATCTCCAGGCCTTACTCCCGAATCGTCCCTTTTGTTTTAACTGTTCTTGCCTTTTGGCAGCTCTGCGCATGCACGCACTAGGAACAGGCTCCTCCTGTTCCTCTGCCTTTCTGATATCTGACTCAGGAGGCTCCGGAGTCTGCGCATAACTCCCAGATGGCCCGGGCCCCATCTCTGCCTCCCAACGCAGAGCCCTCGTCCGAGCCTTCCCCAAACTCCAGGACTGGCCCATGTTCCTCCCCAGCCTCCTCACTGTCTAACTCCTCTGCCAGCTCCACAGGCTGCTGGCGGACCACAACGGAATCCTTGTCTTCAAATGAATATTAGTGTCTTGTTTCAGTTATGATTTCACTGAATTTTTTAAAACCTAAAGTATGGTATTTGGTACCAATGCAAATATAAACATTTTCCCAATTAAAGATTCAATGGTAATTTGATTTTTGTGCCAATATAGTTTCTACACGTGTCCTGGACCTAAAGAATATTATATTTAACATCAGTGTTGTAATGACATTACACTAAGGCAAATATCTCTCTAGTCCAGACAAATTAAATTTATAGACTTAATTTTGGTTTCACTGATTTGAAGACGCCCTGGAGAATACATATGGCATACCAGTTGTAATTGGGTTTATGAAGATAATTCTTTATAGGTAAAGTCCCATTAAGTCCAGTTGTACTTAATCTAAAAATATACTGATTGATCTTCATAAGGTGAACATTTCATTGTCTTTTCCTCTCTTCCTTAGGTTAGCTTAGATTCACGGGTGCGAGAAGTGATCAACAGAAATTTGTTGGACCCCAACTCTCATATGTATGAAGATGCTCAACTTCAAATCTACACATTAATGCACAGAGACTCTTTCCCTAGGTTTTTGAACTCTCAGATCTATAAATCTCTTCTCGAAAGTACAAGGAGCTCTACTTCTGAGACTTAAAAATAATTTGGGGGTTTGAAATCTTGATTTAGCTTTTGGGGAATGGGTGGGGTAAGGACTATTAGGATGAAGACAGACGTAAAATTTTTAAAGCAACAGGGCTGCTCTGGAAGCACCTTCACTGCATTTAGTCCAAAATGTACCCTTCCCCTCCAGAGTCAAGCTCTGGAAAAACCGGTCCTGCCCCTTGAAGCAGAATCCGGCTGTGCATGGTGCTGATTTGTGAAGCCCCACCCCCATGATGTCACCAAGAAACCTCCCCTGCAATAGCTGGAACCATTTTGCACTTTAAGAAGAGTTTCCTTTTTAAATGAAGAAGGCAGGAAATGGACAGATAAATAGTCTAATGTTCATCCGTCCTTTTGTTTTGGGTGGACAGGGGTAGGGAAAGAGACAAGACTGGAAAGCGAGCCAGTTTTTCAATTCATTGTTCTTCATGGCTGCCATTTCAGCTGCCAATTCTGATGGGAAGATGGGCTCAACCAGAGCTGAGGGATGAACCAAAAGCTCACTTTTTATATTACATCTGTCTTCACCTTAGTAGTTCAATAACACCTGGAACTGAGTTCCTGGAGAACTACAGTTTGGCACGACTCTGGCTACTGTGAAGCAAACAAATACACACAAAGGTATTTGTCTACATTTATCAATGTCTATCATTCTTGATTTTGGAAGGGAGGGAAAGTAGATTTGCCAAATCACACTTATTCAAATACTTTTACACCTGCAGTTAAGACTACAATGATGTTCTTGTCGTTTTAATGAAGACTTTCCTTGTGTATCCTCACACTGCATGTGCAAAGCAAAACTGCTTCACTTTATCACTTAGTTGTTGCAATATTTAATCCAACAACATAAATTATATCTATATTTAAGAACATTGTGTGCAATATGATCTTATGGTACACACATAGGGATTATTGGAGTGAACCAGAAAACAATCTGACTTGGGTTTAGCAATGTTATTCCCCTTGTTCTGTGGAGAAAAATCCATTGCTATATAAGACAGACAACATTTCTATGTAAGAAAACGAGCAAGAAGTGAATGTTATTTATCATCATTTATTTAAAATTCAAAACAGAGGATTCCTCTGGTTATTGACTGCCAGAATTGTGGTACTTTCATTACAGAAATGTCAAAACTAACAACAAACATCAAAGCACAAGCTACATGAAAGAAATCAAATGGAGAGACACAGTCTATAAGCTGACATTGTTTATAATTGTTACAAAAACAGATAATCAATGTACATTTCAGATGTCAGATACTGTAATGGATTTATTAAAGACTGGCTATCCAGTTATCTAAAATTGTTGTGTAATGTTATGTAATTCACAAAAGGAAAGAAGCAAAACAAAACAAAAATCTTCCATTCATAGAATCAAGTCTAGAAAAATTTATGGTTTTAATTTAAAAGATAATTTTTGAAAAATGCATAAATGTAGCATTTTGGTCAGCATTGGAGACTAGCATTTGTCTATACATTTGCTTTTCTTAAAAGTTCTGTCCTCTGAAAAAGAAAATGTCCATTTTTAAAGGAAAAGCTAAGGAAGAATGTCTTCTGGCGTTCCTAATTTGAAAGGGTTCATTTATGGGCCAGTATTGTGGAGATTTAATAAATATTAAATTCAAACTTACTGGCCCAAAAATAGTGGCAACAGTTGTTCTTTTTTTCTTTTTAAAATAAACATCTTTCTAAGCACTAGTAAAAATGAAGACAGTACGGAGTCCTCTGTTTACCTTGAGTTGAATTTGCCAGGGTCAATCTTTTGCACAAGCCATCCTATAATGAATGCGGATTTAGCCAAGAGATGTTTTTCTCTTGTGAAATTCCCATTTGCTTCAAATGTGCAATTGAAAAGTCCCTTGGAGATCCTTTCCTTTGCTGCTAGTTCAAGTAGCTACCTGATTTTTTTTCTAAAAAAATAAAATAAATAAATACTAATTTCCCTAAGTGCTTGCTTGCATCTTTAAAAAGAAATAGCAAATTTCTAAAACAACCAAAAAAAAAAAAAAACCCTTGTCTTAGAACCTGTTCATTTTAATATTCAGTCTTGAGATTTTCTTTGAAGAATTGTTTAAGGTGCCACAAAACAGATACATATTGAAGGTATTATTATGAACTCTAGATTTGATGATTGGGGACATTCTATAAACCGATTCTTCTCCCTGAAGTTACCGTAACTTCTTGTGCTGTCCATGATGAAGATATGGGGTTAAACAAATAGAATCAAGTTATTTAATATTAGCTGTTTGCCTGCATGTTATTCCCGAGTTCATCTACATCTTAATGTGGATGCATTCGCTAAGCATGCCGAGTCTCATTCATTAAAGGGGAATTTTTGCTGGAGCAAAGTTGTGAATTTTGCCCTTTGAGGTTGCAGTGGCCAAAAGAACATAATGTATAGATGACATTAAGCACTGGATTGTTCATTCTAGTCCTAAACATCTGTGCCCCCCCCCCACATGCTTGCATAATACTGGAATCCCTTGATCATCTAGTGTCCTTGAGAGCTATATTTCCCCAGTGTAAGTCCTCCGTTGCTAGTAATTATGCCATTCATTTATTTTGGAAGGGACTCAGTTCTTTTTCTCTTTCACTACCTCTTCACATTTAATTTATTGAACATGTGTCAAAGGGCAGAAGTATGTGCGGTTGGGAATATACCTATTACTTTACTTACAATACTTGAAATCTGTAAGCTTAAGAAGCGTGATAGGGAGACGTGGACAATTTAGCTAACCATTTCTTAAGATCTTTTGGTTTTGTAATTTATACAGAATTCAGGAGACAAGACTTTTGTAAAAATAATTTTTTTTAAAAAGGGCTATTCTTTATTCCCTATGCAACTCTTTTAACTGTTGTAGTGTTTGACAAAATGGGATTTTAAAAAAAAGGCAAAAAAAGCAAGAGAAAATTCTGCAAAGCAGAAAAAAAATAAAAGGTCTGTTTACACTGGCGTTTGCTGACTATCCTACCATACTCAGCACTTTTAAATATTGTTGTGTATGAAAATGTAGTTTAAAATGCAAGACAAATTATTTATAAAGGACATTCTTTTAATAAATACCTGTTTTATCTGAAAAGTGTTATTGTGTTATAATATACTTTATTCATGTTGGTTATTAATTTACCATTATGAATAAATTTTAAAGGTATATTGATAGAATTATATCTTCGAAGATGTTTACAGAAACAACCTTTTTTTCTAAAGGAGAAGGTAGCAAGAAAATAAAAAAGCAAACAACTGCCTCCTCCTACTGTGAATTTCTCATAATGAAATAATTTAAGGCTCATTATCTGAAATAACTGTGGAATTACATATTTATAACACCGCAGTAAAAGTTTCATTTCCTATGGTACTCTGCATATATATACATATATATATCTGTCTGTACATATTTATATGACGTGGATTCTGGTTTGTTATGGTGTTTGAGATACAAGTATCTCTGGTGCACACAACTAGGTCTATGTAATTAGAAAATATTGCATGTATTCAATAATGAGACTTCATATTTTCAATGTTACTATTTGATGGTGACCTGTTAACCAGAAGCTATCTTTATAAGATACTTTTACTATAGTAAGGGAGATGTCAGTTTGAAAGGCACCTTTCCTGAGGAACCTTAACCAAATAAAAATTGTGAGGGTCTGCCAATAGCCCCTAGAATTATGGTACTAGACTTCCTTTTATGAGTATTTTGGTCATGATATGGGAGGGGAAATAAAATGTCACATTTGAACTGTTTCCAAAATTACTAAGTTTGTTGTTGCAGTGAGACTATGTTACCATAAGAGCCTAAATCCTGAATTTTACTGGATTTATAGGTTGGCCTATTGAGCACTCTGTATTTTATATATATTTCCTAGGAATGAATGTATATTTTAAATCCATCTGGCAAATAGATGTAGACACCCACACCACGTAACCCTTGTGTCATTTAAAGAGATACAAAAAACAAAGGTGGTTGTTGATGTCAACTTTCTGCAACTAAGAGAAATAGCCAAATTTATCTCATTCTACTTTTGCATACCTCAGTTTTCAGTTCTCTGAAAGGAATATTGACAGTATTTTAAATGACAACATAATCTCATTGCTCTCAGTCAATTTGCAACATATGAGCAGTCAATGATTACACTTCTAAAATGATTATTGTGCATGTACTATACAATACTTTTAATATAAATGAATTGCTTAATTATACTTACCACAGGCAGAAATAGACTGAAGATGTATTTACTTCTTGTTTTGGGATTTTAACGAGATCACAAATATATAAAATAAATATAATGCTTTTGATTAACAGATCATTGTGACTAAGTTGTATGTACAAGTGGTCATGAAAATATCATTCAGGTCTCTCATTCATCCAAGTGCAGTTGGTGTGTCTACAAGCTATAACCCCATTGTCTTTTCCCATGTCTTCCTGGTGGGCCCTCAACCCACAAACAAGGATTTTCATGGACATCCCTTCATGGAGAAGGGAGAATTATGGTCAGTAAAATTGGGGTCTATGTTGTAGTTACTCCGTCCCTCCATACTGACGCCGCTTCATATCATATTTCTTCTCTTCCTAAATAATCATTCTGTTGTTACTAGATAAATAAAAGTCCCATCAACTTTTCTATGGATGTGGAGCAGGAATTGTTTAATTGAAGGTTTCCAATTGTTTAATTGAAGGTTTCCAAACTACCCCAATTATAAAAGAAGGGGGGAAAAATGCCCAGTGTTAGTATCTGAATGATTCCAACATAAATATAGTTGCCATATGACAAAAAGGCAGCAACAAACCTATTTGTTTCTTATCCAACAGTTAAAGTATAGATTGTGAACCCTTTCATGAATTCATGCTTTCAGGAAAGTTTTCAGTTTAGGGGGGGAAATTTAAATCTTTGCAAGATTTAAAGGAGGGTATGGTTTAACAGGAACTGGAATGATGTGTGACTGAGTAATTGTTAAGTAAATAGGTTCTATATTGTTGTCATGAAAAGTCCAGGGTATGTCCAGGAAGTTACCAGGAATCATATTCTATCTGGGTTCTGAAAATGAATGAACTCCTTTTAGAATGCATTCTTCCTTTGAACTACAATATCTATAGCAGCGATGCAGTATTGCAAGATAAGAGGTTACACTTTTTCTGGAATATTTTCTGGAGAGTTGGGGGTGGGTGACTTTTTTCTTTTTTTTAGTTTTGTGTGTCATCTGCATTCTCATAGAAGAGCTACCATTGGGGAGGGCTGCCCAATTACAAGGCCAGTCACAAAAGTCTTTAAAATAAGAGGGTCCACCCTTGGAAACTTTTAAGACCTGTGGACTTCAACTCATGCTTCATGCTGGCTAGGGATTTCTGGAAATTGAAGTCTACAGGTTTTAAAGTTGCCAAGGTTGAACACCCCTGCTGTAGAAGGCAAACTAATGAAGCTGCTCTCTGCCACCTCTTCTTGTATAGCTTTACTTTTTTTTTCTGGACAAACATATACTTCCAAAAGAATGCACTGGGCTGTAGCCACAAAACATTTTTATCTTTTAAGATCTCACAGGCCTCCCATATGCCAGGTGCTTTGCTGTGCCCATCCCAGATTTCTGATCCTTCATTGATTTTTTTTTTTCAATTAAAAGAATCTTATAACAATGAAATCAGGTGGATGAGGGAGTCTGAGAAATGTCAAGACAAGTCTCTGCTGGCAATTTAATTTAATGGAACAGAAGCGGGAAAATTCTGAACGCATGGTCAAGTACCTTTTGAGACAAGCTCAATTCCTTGTTACTTCACAGTCAGACCAAGATCATTTTCTTGGCAGTTTTCTTCTGTCCCATTCAAATAAGTTGAAGTACCAACATTTCATCTTGTTAGGAAGGAATACAAAAGGGGTTTCCCCTCTTTTCTTTCTGGGACAATTCTCACTGCCCATATTATGCAACGAAATTTCATTTTAATGCATGCCAATTATTGTACATTCAAAGTGACAATAAAGTTATTCTAAGTGTATTGTCTCACACTAAAACTCCTAAGAGGTCTCTCATCCAAGTACTAACTGGAATCCACCCTGTTTAGTTTCCAAGAACAAACTAAATCAGTATCTATCTATCTATCTATCTACCTATCTATCTATCTATCTATCTATCTATCTATCTATCTATCTATCATCTATCTATCTATCTATCTATCTATCTATCTATCTATCATCTATCTTCTATTTATCTAGCTATCTATCATCATCTATCATCTATCTATATCTATCTATCTATCTATCTATCTATCTATCTATCTATCTATCATCTATCTATCATCTATTTTCTATTTATTTGCTGCCCATCTCATAGTTGGAGGTGACTCTTTAAATCCAACTTAGTTGTTATTTATTGAATATATATCCTGCCTTTTGTACATGAGCTTATGATGGCATAGGTAGTGACCTCTCCTCCTGTTTGTCCCCAGAGCAATAATCCTAGGAGATGGGCTGGCTTGAGAGAGATGACTGGCCTAACCTCATCTACTGATCTTCTGTGGCTGAGGGTATGAATCCTGTCCATTTAGGCAGCAGTCCTTCTGGCATCCAAGAGACCTAAGGACCACAAACCCAAACAGATTTCTTTGTGGTTGGAGGCACATCTCCAGTCTTGAGTATCAGAAACTATCCCTATCTACAGCCCACTAAATGATAATGGGGGGATGAAAAGATTAAGAAGCTTAAAACAGTTGCCTGGCATGTTGCAGTGATTCCTTCCTTCCTTTTGAAAGAATCTTTTCAAGTTCATTCCTGGTTTCTTTTACCTGGGCTTCTCCATTCAAGGAAAATTCTAAACAAGTAGTGAGAGGGCATAAATTATTTCCAATGATTCTATTTCTTGCAATTATCACTTGGGGGGTGGGGGAATGACTTCCCAAGGGGGAATAAGAAATACCTCTCCACTTTCACCTGCTGGTCTATAAAGAGCAGAGCACTTGTTTCCTCGGGAGCTCTGATACTGAGCCTTTCTTGAAATTACTCTGTAAATGTTTACTGACCGAATTAGAAATCCAAATTACTTTATACACATCATGTAATCTGCTCCCATGGGGATTAAACAAGCTCAGAGTTCCCTATAGTGCATCAGAAAGAAATGGTTATTAAACTAGTCTTCTCTAAATTTCTCTAAACCAATCTAAATTCATACATGAAGTTTGTTTAAATTGTTAATATAAAAGGGAGTGGTATAATCGGATTTAATTGTTCCAACTGACTATAGTTTAAGATTGCCTAGCACAGATTTACAGATGACAACACTCAAAGTATAAACAAGTTTTAATCTTCACATTTAGGTTAAATACATCGCATTCTTATCGCACTTTCTCCAAAGTAAATATGTCCTGAACTGCACAATTTGCTTAAGTCCATCAGACTTCCAGATGTTTTTGCAAAGAAAAAACAGAGGCAAAGAAAAAGCCTTGCATTTGGAAGAACTACTCAGAAAAAACCTTGTACCCTAGGTTCTGCAAACATCTGTTTCATACTAAACAGGATAAACAATGCAAGTCTCTTGTGTTATCCCTGAGCTCAGCAGCAGAGTACCAGACAATCGCTGTTTGATTTCCCTCAGATTTTCAGCAGGAAATGAAAGAAAAGTGTCATGTTGAAGTTTTAAGGCTCTTCCTCATATCCTGGTAAGGTATCCTGCTCCTATCCTTGAGACAGGAGGAAAGAAGAAAATTGTTCTTTTACTGGACCAGGAAGAAATGCTCAGCAAACTTGCTTCCCTCACATGAATGCTGTTGGTTTCTTCAGCAGCTGTTGGGAAAATGGGTAGAAAAGGGGAGAGTCAAATCTGGCAATCGTAATGCTGGCCTTGTGAAGTATGAGGTCAATAGTCATAAAAAAGGAAAGAAAATATTGGCTGCTGGACAAGGCTGTCTTCTCTGATAGATGAGAAAGAAATGCTCACAGACCTTCATGGTTGGATGAGAGGAGGCAGTCCTGTGGCAGGCCCAGTAGAGCCACGCGGTTGCTCAACCTGCATTATATTCTCTTCCACGCAAATCGGGAAGTTTGCAGAAAGGAAAGCTTGTTCCATTCAGTTGGAAAACACTAGTTCTAAATTGCTGATAAAGCAGAATAACAATTCAATATTTTGAAACATTTGGAACTATGCAGTGGTGAGTTGCCCCCGGTTCGGACCGGTTCGCAAGAACCGGTAGTAAAACTGGCGGAAGGCTCCGTCCACTGACCCGGAAGTCATCATAGGTGATCTGCGCATGTGCAGAAGCTTCTGCACATGCGCGATGTGAACCGGTAGTAAAGGTAAGTAGAACCCACCCCTGGAATTAGGGCACTAAATGTCTCAGAGCAGGAAAGCTAGAAATCACTATATAATAACATACAAGTTTCATAGGGAGATGCATCTTTTTTTTTATTGAATGATGGAACCGAATTTAGTGATTAGCACATTATAACTAGATAAAGAAAAATTATCAGCCAGCCCCCTGCAGTGAAACATAAAATAGGAAGATTACGTTAGGGAATAGAATAGAATAACAGAGTTGGAAGGGACCTTGTAGGTCATCTCGTCCAACCCGCTGATCAAGCAGAAGATACTATTTCTGACAGATAGCAGTCCAGTCTCTTCTTGAAGCTTCCAGTGATGAAATTCCCACGATGTCCAAAGGCAAGCTGTTCCACTGGTTGATTGTTCTGTCAGAAAATTTATTCTTATTTCTAGGTTGAATCTCTCCTTTATGTGGGGACTGAATCAACATTAATTTGATAGCACATAAACAGTCAAGGTTGAGTGGACTTGAAAAGTATTAAGTCCAGCAGCACTTTATATTCTCTTCCATGCAAATCAGGATGTTTGAAGAAAGGAAGCTTGTTCCATTCAGATGGAAAGCACTGGTTCCCTAACAGATTGGCCTGATCCAGCTTCAGCCTTCCTAATCAGAAGAATGGCCCAAGTGGAAGCTCCAATGTGTGAGAACAGGTCCTCAATAACAGGTAAGCTGACCACTTTGGAACCCTGCAGGCGAGTCCTTACTTTATACAAACACTTTTCAGAGCGCCAGTATATTTTATCAGACACACAGAATAGATAACTGAGAAATAAACTATCATTGAGAGGGGTGGAGAAGAGCAAGATCTGCCCTTGAAGATCATTAGGAAACTTTAACTTCAGATTCGGGCTGTGCAAATAGTGTGGTGGTAAGATGCGTAGTGGCACAGTGGTTAGAATGCAGTACTGCAGGCTACTTCTGCTGACTGCCGGCTGCCAGAAGTTCGACAGTTCAATTCTCACCAGGCTCAAGGTTGACTCAGCCTTCCATCCTTCCGAAGTCGGTAAAGTAAGGACCCAGATTGTTGGGGGCAATATGCTGACTCTGTAAACTACTTAGAGAGAGCTGTAAAGCACTGTGAAGCGGTATATAAGTCTAAGTCCTATTGCTATTACTAGTAACTGGTGCTAGATATACGGCACATATAACACCACTCCTGCATGAGTTACACTGGTGACCAGTGGGTTTCTGGGTGCAATTCAAGTGCTGGTGGTCACCTACAAAGCCCTATATGACTTGGGATCAGGGTATCTGAGGAATCGCCTTTTTTCCAGAGTTTCTACCCTCCAGCTAGATCAAACAGGATGAGCATGCTGCAGATCCTATCAGCCACAGAATGTCAGCTGAGGGGGACATTAGAAGACAAACTTTTTCTACAGCAGTTCCTGCTTTGTGGAACATCCTCCCTTCGGAAATTAGAATAGCCCCGAACCTCTTAGCCTTCTGTAAAGCTTTAAAGGGCCGGCTATGTTCCTGAGGCAAGGGTGATACACGGCCTCCTGGCTATAAAGTTAACAGGCCAAATGTCTTATTTGTATGTACTTGAATTAGACGTTTTAATGTTTTTTTTATTGTTTTCATGGTTTTTTCCCGTTTTTATTGTTTTAAGATGTTAAGATTTTAATTGTAATATATGATTTTGAATTGTGAGCTGCCCAGATTCCTTGGCTGAGATGGGCAGCTATAGAAATCAAATAAATACATCTCCAACGAGGATTAAGAACATAAGAGCACATGAAGTTTTCCTTCCCTCCAGTATTAATGCCTTCTGACAGACAGGACATATTCCCTTTAAATTTATTCCTCTTAATTGTGTCACAGTTTGTTTGATTTAGAAAAAGGGGTGTATTTTTTTTAAGGACAGCTGCAACATTTCTCTGTGGTTGTACTTGGGAGAGATTTAAAGATATCTCCATGTGACTTTGACCTCTTGAGGTCCCTGAGTAATCTAATTAGTCAGTTCATTGTACCCAGCTGTTTTCCAATTTTTCCCTCTTTTTCTATTATTTGTTATGGATGGAAATGATGATCATAAATGTACTAATTAAACATATTTCTTTTTTAAAAAATAATTTTTATTAAAAAAAATTTAAAACAAAAAAGAATCTGTAACCATTTTTTCTTTCCAACAATTTCACATGGGTAAAACATTTCTTACTTATCCATTTTTTCTCCCTTATTTCAATGTATTCTTTATACATATAATTCTAATATTAATTTATTTACATATATACAATAAATGTACACAATTTCATTTCTACAATCTTCATTTTTTCTGTTTCCTCTTATTTATTATTACATTTCTACTCCTATACCTTCCTTATTTAATCTTTCCTTGCCTTTTATCTCTCTCTTCTAACTCATACCATTTCTCCCACACTATATAATATTCTGTTTCCTTTTTTTCTTCTATCTCCTTTGTAAGTTTGTCCATTTCTGCACATTCCAAAACTTTTCTAATCAAATTATCATCGGTTGGTATATTATTGTTTTTCCAGTTCTGTGCGTATATTATTAATTAAACATATTTCTATGCCTCTGCCTTCTATACAGACTTTCCCTGTCTTAAATAGCATCAACACAAGTTGAAACATCCACAGTAAAATTAACACAACTGCAACAATATGAAAACGAAAACCATAGCCATATAAGCCCAGATAAGATCTATGAAAGTAGAGTTGGCAGCAGCAGTCCCATTCAGGGAAAGTTTCTCTGAAATAGTTTGGTCTTTGTGAGTTTGTGTGACTTTCTGAAAGACCAGCAAACAGGGATGCCTAGGCGCAGTTGTGGAAAAGTCTAAATCAAGCTGTAGTCCAATAGACCCCATGCCAGTAACTTCGACATTCATCCCGCTCCGGTCTCTTCCGATCCATCCAAGCCTAGTTAAAGCCAGCGCCTTTCCGATCATTGCCGAGCTAACCGTAGGAGGGTAGTCAAGCTTTGGGACTACCTTCGGCAATTTTCGGCATTTGTCGCAGTTCTTCGAGCCGGGATTACGAGCGTCAGCGAGGACCATTTTTTTTCCCCCTGGATTCTTAAATGAACTGGAATAACAAAGAGAGATGGTGATGGCACTCAAACATTATACTTCATGTTCACAAGCGAAGGGGAAAAAAAAACCCACTTTAGGAAGATTTGGGGTCTGGCTAATCTAAAGAAAAGAAGACATGATAGCAATATTTCAGTATTTGAGGGGCTGCCACAAAGAAGAGGGCAGGGGGGTCAAATTATTCTCCAAAGCACCAGAGGGCAGGACAAGAAATAATAGTTGGAAACTGATCAAAGAGAGAAGCAACCTGGAATTAAGGAGAAACTTCCTAACAGTGAGAACAATTAACCAGTGGGACAGCTTTGCCTTCAGAAATCGTGGACGCTCCATCACTGGATGTTTGTAAGAAGAGACTGGACAGTCACTTGTCTCAGATTGCATAGGTTCTCCTGCATGAGCAGGGGGCTGGACTAGAAGACCTCCAAGGTCCCTTCCAGCTCTATTCTACTCTAAGGGGCAAATGCTACCTCTTTTGTGATATGACAGTGCCCCGCATAGAAACGCGAACTACAACCCGAACTAACTATCGTCCTCATTTGTTTCGCATTTCTTGGTATCTATCAGAGAGAGCGGAGGAAAGAGCGGCGACTTCCGACAGTCATTGCTCTAGTCTAGTCTACTCTAAGCGAAGGGGACGGGAAGCGGAATCTTGGCGCTGAGTTGACCCCGGCATGTGGTGGTGCTTCGGCCGGAGTCGAGCGGCCTGGCGGAAGTTCGCCGTTTCTTTTCCCTCCGTGCCTGCCGCCCGTTCGCGATGCGGGGGGCAAACCGTGCCGCGACGTTGGCTCAGCAGCCAACCGGATTTGCGCGAGCTGTTCGCCAGACCGGCGCTTCGGCGCTACCTGGATCAGCATTCCCGGCCAGAAGAGCAGCCCGGCGGCTTCCGTTCGGCGTTGGCAGCGCGGATTCGCCTCTTGAGAGACAAGGAAGAGGAGCTGCGTGAGACGGAGCGCTTGGCGCGAGAAGGTGAGACGTCTCCACCTGACGGACCGCCGCCTGATGGGCTGAATTGGAAGAGGGCGGTGCTCGCTGGGTGACAGCAACCGGCCCCGTCTGGCAGGGTCCCTGAACTGATCCCCAAGTACTGGCAGCCCGATTCTGACGCTGAAGTTCCCGAACGGTCTTCAAGGGACCGATCTTGCTCTTCTCCACCCCTCCCAAGGATCGTTTATTTCTTCAGTGGTCTATTCTGATAAAATATACTATATTTTATATCTCTTTCTCAGTCTATTCTGATAAAATGTACTATATTTTATATCTCTTTCTCAGTCTATTCTGATAAAATGTACTATATTTTATATCTATTTCTCAGTCTATTCTGATAAAATGTACTATATTTTATATCTATTTCTCAGTCTATTCTGATAAAATATACTATATTTTATATCTATTTCTCGGTGGTCTATTCTGATAAAATACACTATATTTTATATCTATTTCTCAGTGGTCTATTCTGATAAAATATTCTATATATCTCTTTCTCGGTGGTCTATTCTGATAAAATATACTATATTTTATATCTATTTCTCGGTGGTCTATTCTGATAAAATATACTATACTTTATATCTTTCTCGGTGGTCTATTCTCATAAAATAAACTATATTTTATATCTCTTTCTCGGTGGTCTATTCTGATAAAATATACTATATTTTATATCTCTTTCTCGGTGGTCTATTCCGATAAAATATACTATATTTTGTATCTATTTCTCAGTGGTCTATTCTGATAAAATATACTATATTTTGTATCTATTTCTCAGTGGTCTATTCTGATTAAATATACTATTTTTATATCTCTCAGTCTATTCTGATTAAATATACTATATTTTATCTCTTTCTCAGTCTATTCTGATAAAATATACTATATTTTATATCTCTTTCTCAGTCTATTCTGATAAAACGTACTATATTTTATATCTATTTCTCAGTGGTCTATTCTGATTAAATATACTATATTTTATATCTCTTTCTCAGTCTATTCTGATAAAACGTACTATATTTATATCTCTTTCTCAGTCTATTCTGATAAAACGTACTATATTTTATATCTATTTCTCAGTGGTCTATTCTGATTAAATATACTATATTTTATATCTTTCTCAATCTATTCTGATAAAATATACTATATATCTCTTTCTCAGTCTATTCTGATAAAACGTACTATATTTTATATCTATTTCTCAGTGGTCTATTCTGATTAATATACTATATTTTATATCTCTTTCTCAGTCTATTCTGATAAAACGTACTATATTTTATATCTCTTTCTCAGTCTATTCTGATAAAACGTACTATATTTTATATCTATTTCTCAGTGGTCTATTCTGATAAAATATACTATATTTTATATCTCTTTCTCAGTCTATTCTGATAAAATATACTATATTTTATATCTCTTTCTCAGTCTATTCTGATAAAATGTACTATATTTTATATCTATTTCTCAGTCTATTCTGATAAAATATACTATATTTTATATCTATTTCTCAGTGGTCTATTCTGATAAAATACACTATATTTTATATCTATTTCTCAGTGGTCTATTCTGATAAAATATTCTATATATCTCTTTCTTGGTGGTCTATTCTGATAAAATATACTATATTTTATATCTATTTCTCGGTGGTCTATTCTGATAAAATATACTTTATATCTTTCTCGGTGGTCTATTCTCATAAAATAAACTATATTTTATATCTCTTTCTCGGTGGTCTATTCTGATAAAATATACTATATTTTATATCTCTTTCTCGGTGGTCTATTCCGATAAAATATACTATATTTTGTATCTATTTCTCAGTGGTCTATTCTGATAAAATATACTATATTTTGTATCTATTTCTCAGTGGTCTATTCTGATAAAATATACTATATTTTGTATCTATTTCTCAGTGGCCTATTCTGATAAAATATGCTATATTTTATATCTCTCAGTGGTCTGTCTGATAAAATATACTATATTTTATATCTATTTCTCAATGGTCTATATAAAATATACTGGCGCTCCCAAAAGTGTTTGTATAAAGTAAGGACTTGCCTGCAGGGTTCCAAAGTGGACCTGTTCTCACACATTGGAGCTTCCACTTGGGCCATTCTTCTGGTTAGGAAGGCTGAAGCTGGATCAGGCCAATCTGTTAGGGAATTAGTGCTTTCCAACTGAATGGAACAAGCCTTCATCCCAGTTTGCATGGAAGAGAATATAAACTGCTGCTGGGCTTTTATTACTTTTCAAGTCCACTCAGGGTTGACTGTTTTATGTGCTGTTAAGTTCGTGTTGACTCAGTCCCCAGATAAAGGAGAGATTCAACCTAGAAATGAGAAATTTCCTGACAGTGAGAACAAGTCGCAAAAGATGATTGCATGACCTTGGTAACTGCAACTGTCATAAAATAATGCCAATTGTCAAGCCTCCAAGTTTTGATCACATGATCATGGGGTTGCCACAACAGTCGTAAGCATGAAAAATGGTCATAAGTCACTTTTTTCAATGCTGTTGTAACTTTGAACTGTTACTAAATGAATATCTGTAAATGGAAGACTAGCTGTATACCTTCCATACTTGTGGTTGATATCTGAATAGGAAAAGAGTTAAAAATACTAAATAGCCAAGAGAGAGGAAAGGAATTGTGAACCAGAGAAAAAAGATTAATAGTATTATGATAATAGTGTGCAATCCTATTCTAGATGAAAATGAAGACTTGCGGAAGCTTGCAGAAAAGGAAGTTATTTCCTGTGAGGAAGAGGTAGAAGAATTGAGACATCAGGTAAATCACTTATTGAAGCATGACATTTAAATTCAAGACTAACTTCTCTTTTGATAAGGGACTATCAAATGCTATTATTTGGCAGTCTTCCTCTGCTGCCCCACTTCATTTCATATTTATTTTTTTTCTACATACTGCTGAATTTCTGTTCTTTTCAGGATTTAATTTCAGGGAAGAATCCCATGTATCTGTGGAAGAATTTTTGTTATGAATAGAAGAGAGTATGTATGGTCTGGGAGTGAACTGTTGAGTTATTGATGCTTTCTGAGCTTAGTTGGTTTTTTGAAGATGTTTCATCACCAGGGTACAGTTTCAATGAGTTGGTAGCGATTTGATGTTGAATCTTATGTATACTTAACTCATCTAAACCAATTCATCAACTAACACTAACCAACTGTATAGTAGGTGTATCCATTGGATTTAGGGAAAAACATTGCACAATTGTAATACATTACATAATGCTTAAAATATATGTACTGGTACTTTTTAAAAATTTCAGCACATTCTGGGCAGCATTCCTTGCTGAGGGAAATTTTATTTAAATAAAAAAGGGCTTTTTATTTATTTCAGATAGTATCCCTTTTGATTCCTTCAGAGAAAACTGACAAAAATGATCTCATCATAGAAGTGACTGCTGGAGTTGGAGGGCTGGAAGCAATGTTGTTCACTGCTGAGATGTTTGATATGTATCAACAGTACGCAGCATATAAAAATTGGACTTTTGATACTCTGACATATACTTCCAGTGTTATAGGTAAGTAACCTTTTGAAATTCTGGCAAGTACATCCAGTACTATCAGCAAGTTGTCTTGAGATAACAAATAAATTCCCAAATTCTATAGTATGTAACAGAGAACGAAGATGGAGAATCATATTATTTCAGTGCAGTTGTTTTAGAGAGCTTAAGAGTGTTAAGAATGCTAGACGTACCTCATGTAATGGCATATATTTATTTTTATTTTACTTTGACGTTGCCTTTCTCCAGGTAGTTCACAATATAAGAACAACACAAACACAGCACAATAAATAAAAATACAATAAGGGAAATAAACAAAATACTATCAAGAACCATGTAAGAGCATTGTATATGTCAGAAGTCAGGCAAATGGGAGACATGCAAATGGGAGACATAAAGCTACATGGAAGAACAACTATTCTTTCTTTCTTTCTTTTTTTTTATTGAAAAAGTTTTAAAACAAACACAATTTCCCCACAACCCCCCCTCCCCCTCCCCGACTTCCCAGAGCAGAACACAAGGTATTTCTATTGACCTTTAACAATAAGCTAAATTGCATAACCAATCATTAAACTAACACCCCCTAAAAAAAAAATCTTAACCCCCCCATATATAAAATCCTATTTCTTAAACATAATACTTCTAATATCACTTATATAGCACTTATACAAATAAAAGAGATCATTCATAAGCTATTTGATATTTTTTGGTCTGATACTTATTTTGTATATAATCAATCCATCTTCTCCAGTCCTGTATATACCTTTCTTGTGTGTGATCCTTCAGATATGCTGAAATTTTAGCCATTTCAGCTAAATTAGTTACTTTCAATATCCAATCATCAATAGTAGGCAAAAAATCCTTCTTCCAGTGTTGTGCTACCAACAATCTTGCTGCTGTTATCAAGTTCAAAATCAATTTAATCTCTACAACTGTACAGTCCGTAGTTATACCCAATAAGAACAACTGTGGAGTAAATTTCAGTCTCTTTTTAAGAATATTCTGCATCACCCACCAAATCTTTATCCAAAATGCTTTGATTTTTCTACAAGTCCACCATATATGATAATAAGTTGCGTCATCACAGTCACATCTCCAACATTTAGCTTGCACATTAGAATACATACATGATAATTTTTTGGGATCTAAGTGCCATCTATAAAACATTTTATAAAAATTTTCTCTTAAATTTTGTGCTTGTGTAAATTTCACATTTCTAATCCAAATCTTTTCCCAAGTCTCCATCATTACTGGCTCTTGAAAATTTTGTGCCCATTTAATCATACAGTCTTTAACCAATTCCGTCTCAGAATCTATTTCCAATAAAACATTATACAACCTTTTAATATGCATTTGTTTTTGATCTCTAATTTGTTTTACCAAATTCTCCTCATTTTGCACAAAGCCAGTTTTTTGATCTTCCTTCCATCTAGCTTGAAGTTGACCGTACTGAAACCATGTATAAATTATACCTTCTTCTCTCAGTATATCTAAAGATATATCACCTCCTGTTTTTGTTCTATACTTATATTTTCTATTGCATGTCTAGGATTTGCCCATACAGGTATCTTATAATTTAACTTATATTGATATTTTTTCCAAACCCTCAACAAAGCATTTCTTAATATATGAGCCTTAAATACTTTATCCACTTTTTTGTCATATAACAAATAGGCATGCCATCCATATAACAAATCATAACCTTCTAAATTCAAAATTCTCCCAACAACTATTCTTTCTTCATGAATGCCTACATCTGCATGCCCTGCCCACCTCTGTTAAGACGTAGACCTTCAATAAACTGCAACTAGGTGGATCATAGCTCAACAAGACACTCATGAACACACATGATAGGTAGACAGAAAGACACTCTTTTTTGAATAACCTTTTTTCTGGAGACTTACACTTTGTGATTGCTTTTACTGTTTTTAAAAAATTAAGGTGGTTTAAGACATGCATCTGCCAGTATAAAAGGCCTTGAAGCATATGGACAATTTAAGTTTGAAGGAGGAGTACATCGTGTTCAGCGTGTGCCAAAGACGGAGAAGCAAGGCCGCATTCATACCAGCACAATGACTGTAGCAATACTACCACAGCCAAGTGAGGTATGTGGTTACTCTTAAGTATTTGGTTCAACATTCTGCATTCAGATAAAAGAATTCCATTCTGTTACACTTTTTTCCCTACCTATTTAGAACATGAAGACTAATTAGCATTAATAAAATCACCAAATCTTACAGTATAATTTATAGTTTGTTGCAATTAGTCTGTTGTTAGAGTGTAAGCAAAGTATTTCTTCCTGTTCCAGATAAATCTGACAATTAATCCTAAAGACTTATGTATTGAAACTAAAAGATCCAGTGGAGCTGGTGGCCAGCATGTGAATACTACTGATAGTGCCGTACGGATAGTCCATATTCCCTCAGGTATTGCAACATGACTTTCAAATGAGTGAATTTTTTAAAAATATGCTCTCATATTTTATATGATGATGCTCAGTAACAAGATACATGCTTTATAGAAAATCTTAGCTATCAGTGTTGTCTACAATTTGGACTGAGGATGTTATTGGATATAGAACATTTCAGCATTGTAGCATAAAATCAGGAATCTAACCAAGATAAGCTGTAGTGAACTCTCATTCTGAAAATGTGTAAGGACCTGACCCAGAGACTGTTTTTTCAGTGTTGCAGTTAAGACTGGGGAACACTGGACAAAAAAATATATATGAAAAACGTTCTTGCTTTGGAAAGGGTGATGTAATGTATAAATTAGAAAATGCTAATTTTGCATACATACTATACATATATTACGTAAAATGAGATTGTACATTGCTAACAATGCAGTCCAGTACATCTTTATGCAGAAATGTGTGTGTGTATTCTCTCTCTCTCTGTGTGTGTAAGACAGACAGGATTTTATTTGAGGCCTTCCCTCAACAATCTTTCAAACTTTCTTTTTTTTAGTTGCACCTATACTACTATATTCATTTTCTTAGAACTAACAATGTAGTAGATTATATAATTCACTACATACAGATTTCTTACAAAAAAAGCCAAAGATCATTGGCTTCTGGTAGAATATATAGCACATATATAAAAATATGTAACAAAATTTGTCATTCTAATCAAGGCCTGTTCTGATTCTGCTACAGCTTCAACAGCATATTTGTTTCCAAATCCTGGCATCTTATTAAGTTCAAAAATATAGCAGTTGTATTGTTGAACTAAAAATGCAAAGTAATCTTCTGTACTTATTATATCTTAACATACAAAATACATTTTTGTGCTTTACATACTTCTGATTTCTTTCTCTCTTTTTTTTTTTTGGCCTAACTTCTACATTTCCTCTGTTGTAGGTATAGTATCTGAATGTCAACAAGAAAGATCTCAAATTAAAAATAAAGAAAAAGCTATGGAGCTTCTTCATGCTAAACTATATAGCATCAAACTTGAAGAACAAACAGTGAAGATACATACTGCCAGAAAGATTCAGGTAAAATGCGCTGCATTGTTCTTCAGATCTAAGGATGTTCTGCTGTAATAACTATGGCTGAATTTGCAGCTGAGGTGGGGGATGGAGTTAAAAGACTGGCTAGCTTGGAGTCTTTGCAGAAGAGAAAGCAATGGAAACTTGACTCCCCCATCCGCCCCCCCCCCCAAAAAAAACCTTGAAGTGATTAACTGGTTGTTCTCAAGAGACTGCAGTTAGTCTAGTGAGATTCTTGTAAATGAGTGAGTTGCAATAAAGAAATATCTCAGATCAGCTCATGGTGTCATTCTGGTTCCTTGTACCCGACACTACCAGATTTTCTGAAGGCAAATCAGCAGTGCACTGATACACACTGCTTCACTCACGCCTCAGTTACAAAGAAAAACCAGAACCGGTGAGAAAAACTGTTTTTGCTAACATCATAACGAAATAAAAATAATTGACAATACCATCCATGATTTATTTGCTGTACCTGGTCAGAGAACATCAGTGAGCATGATCTAAATAGCAGACACCAGCAGACTGCTTTGTTAATAAGCGATATCTTGGCCAAAACCAGCTCATGTTGAAAAGACATGGATTATAACTTGGATACATGTGGTTGAAACACAAGCGATGCAGATTGAACCCTGAAATGTTACTGAGCGTTGGTAGAAGGAAAGATGTAGTTGTGTAGAACAACGTTCTGCCAAATTGGTGCCCTTCGTGTGTTGGTCTTTCAAAATTTCCAGCCAACAAGCTGGGTAATCGTGAAAATTGTGGTCCAAGACATTTTGAGGGAACTTGGGGCTGGTTAATTGTTTAAACTGTTTTGTCTCTATTTCTTTACTTCTTTCTCTTCTCCTATCCATTTTATTTAAAATTTCTCTGACTGAGAAAAAGCATGTTTAGATGGATATGTAAAAGAGGTATTATGCATGTTTATCATGCTTACAAGAATTGCCTTCTATGAGTAAATGTAACAAAAGTTCACTAACCCTCCTCCAAATTTCTTGTCCCTTTCTTGAGCAGTTTAGACTGGCAGCTCTTCAGAACAGTGTATTTATGTTCTGTGTGGTTTTTGCTTATATTGACTTCGTAAATGACTATATATATTGATGCTTTACTTTTTTCATGGTTACACACATGTACACATTTTGTTGAATTGGGAACGTTTCCTAAATAGTCAACTATTAGGATGTGTAAAAACTGATTAAATTTTTTCCCTTGTTTAGATTGGGACCAAAGGAAGATCAGAGAAAATCAGAACTTACAATTTTTCCCAGGATCGGGTTACTGACCATAGAATAGGCAAGTCAATACATCACATTGAAAAATTCATGCTGGGAGAAGAATTGCTAGATGAAATGATAGAGTCACTAAGAAAATACAGTGAATATGAGGTGTTAATGGAAGTTATTTCAGAAAATGATGCAAGCAGACCAAATTGACCTTCATCAAATCCCAGGCCATAGGTAGGAAAGTGCTTTTCAAACTAGTTTGCTGCATATGTTTGCTTGCACAGAATTGATTTACAATCCCATACATACTGTATATCAATTTATTTTGGTACTGCTTAACACCCAAACAAATATTGATTACCTGTAACAAGGGGGTTGCATGCACCCTACCCCATGGCCTGGGTGAATAGCCAGGTATTTAAGGCCTTCCTAAATGCCATCATGATATGAGCTGTCCATAGCTTAGCGGGACTTTATTCCACAGAACAGGTGCCACAACAGAGAAGCTATGCTTTCCAGGTCCTGAAAAATGACACTGATCAAAGGGACCTGGAGCATGCCCACTCTGTTGGCTTTTACTGACTGGGCAGAAACCACAAGAAATAGGCTGTCTCTCAAATAACTAGGCCCCATGCCATGTAGGATTTTATCAGTTAGGTGATAACTAGCACCTTGAATTGCATCCAGAAGCATACTTGCACCCTAGCGCAACACAAGGAAGTGGGCAAGGCTAAAAGCATGCTGAGATTAAATGGCTAAAATGGTGTATTTTCTAATTCGTTTCTGAAGGATTTTTATGTGTATATTAAATTTATATGCTGCCTAATTCCCAGGGACAGGGTGGCATGAAAGCCTACTGCTGTTGTGAAAAAGCATCAATGCTCCATGTAGGAACTGTTAAATACATGTATTTATTTAATTTATACAGCTGCCCATCTCAATGAGTAACTTTGGCGACTCTAATTCTGGTGAACAGAATTAAAATAGAACAAAAACAAACATTATAAAAATTAAAAATTCAGGTAGCCAAGAAACAATAACCCAAATCACTAATACAACCAAGAAGCTAAATTCTAAAAACTGAGTTATTAGACAATGGTGAGAAATTGGAAAACTGAGAATATGCCAGATTTCAAGTACTTACTCAACAGTCAACTGAAGTTGAAGTGTTTATTTGTTTTATTTCTAGGCAGTCCATTGGCTCTAGGCAAGTAGCAGTAAGAAACACTAGTAAGCTTCCAAATAGTAAACTAAATATAGTACCAACATTGTACAAAAAATGAACACAGACTTTGTCTGCCAAATTCTACATTTTCAAACCCAGCATACCCTCCTGTGCTTGATGGAAATAACCAGATCTTAACCAGGTCTTGACATAATTGTGTCGTTGCAATGTTACATGAGTACATAAATGACAATGGTGGAAATTGATGGATATAAGTGAATTATCCAGCCTACTTTGGCTATATCAGGCATAGTTCGAACATTATCTTTTGGAGATGTCCACGTTCAAATTTAATCTGTTACATTTGAAGTCTTTTAAATAGGATAAATAAATAAACACTTCTCAATATAAGAAAATGCAATGTAATGTAATTTCTCTGTAAATGCTAAGATGAATATTTTTATTATATTTTCAGTTTTGCAAGTTGTTTGGGACTTCCCAAATAAAGCTAGCATCTCTTGATGTTCTAAAACTGCACTCAGTCAGCCTGATAATATATTTTTGTCAAGATTGCATCAAAGATGTGAGAATCTAGGATTTTACTGATCTAGTGGCTTTTTAAAAAAAACTTTTAAAAGTCTGCTCCTGACTTACAGCAACGCTTTTTCCAAATTCTTGAGGAAAAAAAGAATTCCCCAATTCCTTTTCCATTTGAGGGGAAACTCTTTGAGGTGCTTTCTGAGCTTGATTGGTTTCTTGCAAACCTTTCATTACCCAAACTAGGTAACATCATCAGGGCTAGTAATGGGAGTTTGGTCTCAGATTTCCTTTTCCATTTAGGTAATCATGTAAGGCAAGTCAAAGCAATCATCTATGTTAAGAAAAGAAAAGTCTCTGTGTAAATGATAAGGAATTTATATTTTGTAAAAACTTTTACTTGAAATAAATTACATTGAGAATTATCTTTAAGAATTGGATTTTTCTGTATACTAACACTGTACTGAATACTAGTATACTAAATACTAAAACAGAAAAATTTCCTTGACTACGCAGCCTTCATTCAGAGGCAGATTCAGGTTCTCACCCATGCTTCTATTCGTTATCTTATTTTGTCTCCTGGTTTTGCACAAAAAATAAATAAGGCAGTGTAGTTATAAATGATGAAAACAGCATAGTTGTAAAAGATCAAACTCTTCCCAACAACTCTCTCCCATTGGACATTTAACTGTATAACTACCCTACCAGAAATAAAGGGGATTGTATCCCTTTACATATGCATTAGCTTTCAGTTTAAAATTTGAAATAGCATGAATATGAAAAGTAGCTGCACCACAGGACTGAAAAGGGCCCCAAACATCCTACATAAGATAAATAGGGAATGTATGATTTTATTCTAAACAGTCTAAAAATATGTAGCAGAAAGCAAATGATGTGGAAAGAAAAGCTCAGATTTAATTCCTAATATTTGATGAGAATGGGTTCCCAAGGAAAGAAAATCTGATTACTATATCCACATACAGATTTAGAGATGTCCCAGTTCACTGTCTCCAAAACTTATCCTGGACAGAATAGAACTACCCTTTTAGTTCCAGCTTACAAATTTAGTGCAGAATACCATATTTCAATATAAGAAAATGTAATGTAATTTCTATGTAAATGCTAAAATGAGTATTTTTCTTGATTCTATTGTTTTCAAATTTGCAAGGTGTTTGGGATTTTCCAAATAAAGCTAACATTTCTTGATGTTTTAAAGCTGTATTCAGTCAGCCTGATTGAAATTATTTCCTTTAATTAAGGATTTACTGTGGCAAGTAAAACTAGCAAAATTCCTGACCCTGTACATGTAGCCTCTACTTATGACCACAATTGAGCCCAAAATTTCTGTTGTTAAGCTAAACATTTGCTCCATTTTACAACCTTTCTTGCTTAGGTTGTTAAGTGAATCCCTGTAGCTGATAAATTAGTAACCTGGTTGTTAAGTGAATTTGGTTTTGCCACTGACCTTGTCAGGTCGCAAAAGGGAATCACATGACCTTGGGACACAGCAACGCCATAAATATGAATCAGTTGCCAAGCATATGGATTTTGATCACATGATCATGGGGATGCTACAAAGGTTGTAACTCTGAAAAATGGTCAGTCACTCTTTTCAGTGATGTTCATTTAACGGTCATTAAATGAACTGTTATAAGTCAAAGACTACCTATATTCTGCTACAGTTGATGGTTTCACAGATTGCTTAAAGAATTCCAAACTTTGTCCCTATTCCAGAGTCAATAACTGAAGCCATTTGAATTTGCAGAGCACCTATCCTTAGGCCATGCTTCCTGTGTACTACTTTTAATAGTAGTGTATCTTTATAGATAAAAGAATGGAACAGATGTATTTATTTAGGTTTTTAAAAACATAAAAGAATACTTTCTTGTATGTACACCTGGAGAATATTCACTTTGATGAAAATAAGTTTGATTAGAAGCCCCTTTTCTTTCCACTTAAACCTCTTCATTTTATATTTGTTTTATTGAGAAATTGTATGCTATGTTGACATCTGAAATATATGGCTTTAATTCATCTGATTTTTAGTGTTGACATTTCTTAATGATAATATTGCCAGGTCATCACCAAAGAGATTTTAATGAAAAATTGAACCATAAGTATTTCTAGTTCAGGGTATCTGTTTAACTTTACTAAATGTGATGGGATTTCTTCATAGCTTAAACGAGATACTCTGTATGGGCTTTTCAATAAATAGCCTTGGATTTTAAAATATGTGATGTGAAAACAAAGGGAAGAAATCCTATCTACCTCCTAGAAGCTTTTTGTGTGTCTGCTTGTCACATGTGGAAGGGCAAACTAGTCTTTCCATTTCTGATCAATGCCTTTACTTTGAAGGATATAAATAATTATGGGAAATAAGTGCATCATTCCAAAGTCACCTATAGAGCCTGCATAATTTAATGAGAAAGCATGGTTCTCAAATAACACGGGCAAGGCTCAAAACAGTAGTGAGATGATGCAGGCTCACTGGGGGAAAGTCGAGAAACTTTCTATCGGTCCAATGCTTTGGATGGCCATAGCTTGCCTACTTACCGGTATGTCCCGAAATTTAAAAAAAAAAAATCATTATTAAATTTCTTGGAAGTTTAGGGCAAGATATATAGAACGGGAGTCCTCGAATATGACAGGGAATACTTTCCAAATCAGGCGCCATTCGGAATGGACGGTAGCTCCAATTTACCAAATTTAAAAAAAAAAAAAAGCACTAACTTCCATCCAAGTTGAGTTACTTGAGGAAACGTGCTAAGAATCCCGGCGGCCCGAATTTAAACGGCCAGTAAACTTTGCAGTAAAAGGAGCAGGACCGAAACGAGATGGGATCGGGCGCTTTATAATCCGGCCACAGGGTCTTCACTCTCTTTCCCCCTTCGCGCCCTGTAGCCACATCCTGTCCCCGCGCTGGGGGGGGGGGGAATGGACGGACGCCCAAAGGGCCACGTCCAATAGAACGTCCCCGAACAAGAGAGAGAGAGCGCGCGAGCCTTGTCGCACTCCTGGGCAGGCGCCGCAGCATCTCCCGCGCTCTGGCGTGCCTTAAAAATCAACCCCCCCTTCAAGCCCGCAAGAGAGGGCAGGAGCACGCGCTAGCCGGCCTCTTTTTTCCCCCGCGCGCGCGCTCAGTCTTTTTAAATCCCTTGGTTGGAGCTGAAGGCTGGCGGGCAGAATGGGAGGTGGGGGGAGGGAAGAGTCCCTTTCAACGGCGAGGCACACCTCGCGAACCGGCATTGGCCGCCGCCACTGGCTTCTCGTTGATTGGCTGCCGGCTGGCTAGAGCTCCTCCTGATTGGCTCTTGGGGTTTTGGATACCAGATTTAAACCTTTTAAAAGTGCTCGGAAAAGGGATTCCACCCAGAGCAGAAGGACGGTAGTCAGTCAACACTGACTTTGAAAAAAAAAAAAGAAAGCGCGAAAGGAAGCACCGCTTTTGCCCGCTAGAAAACCAGCCACTTCAGGTACCGGGGCTCGTTAGCGGAGACTTATTTTGCAGGAGAACCGGGGCTCTGTTCAATAAGGGAATTGCTGGTAAAACGAGGCTCCGATCCCCACGACTCGAATGAATGGGCTGACTCGTAAGGGGTACTCAGTTCTGGAGTGGGGTGGGGGGTGAGAAGGAATACGGGCTGCAATGCTGCAAAGCCCCCTCTGTCTCCCTCCCAATCGCCACGGATTGAGAAACTGACGCGGGCAGAAAGTCCCGCCAGCGGAACAAGCCCATCGGCTTCTTCCCGCCTCTTGGCCGGGGGTGCCTGCAGGAAAACCTGCATCCCTCCCCAGCATGTCCTTGATCTACTGTACGGGTAGAAATATTCTGGGGGGTGGGGGGGGCGATCATTTCCCCAACCCCAATCCCCACAATTGGCTCCATTTTTTTTCAAAAATGCAACCTGGGGAGGAGGGGGGGGAAGCGTGCCCCTTTGCGATGGGAGGGGGTACATCTTGGATCGCGTTGGGGGCACGTTTTCCTCTCTGTCTCCCCCATCTCTTTTTCTTGGAGGCCGCCTCGCAGTTAGCGCGCCCGGCGGACTCCATTTCCAAAGAGCGCGGGGCGGGTTTGAGGGCTCCCTCGCTTTTTGCTGCAGCGCGCCAGTAAACCAGATTGGATGGCAAGGGCAGTTGGCGTGGCTTCTGCGGCCCCTGAGCTCCCCACACCCCGACCTTGATTTAGCACTTTCCTAAAAAGAAACGAAATTTTTAAAAAGCTGCATTTTTGAAAGGCCCCGAGGAAGAAAATCTAGCAGGGGCAGAACTCCCGCCCTCCCGTTTCGTCCTCTGCCTTTAAAGGGGATCCTTTCTGTCAAACTGGCAGGTTTAAAATTTTGGGAGGGAAAAAAAAATGAGCTGGACTAATCCCACCAGGCGAGGCAAAAAGAGGGGGTTGGTGTGTGGCCTCTGACAGGGCCCCATATATATAAAGAGAAAAGGGGATCATAAATAGGGCAGAAATTTGTATCCTCTGTGATGGTTTACTTTGGAATGGGGCATATTCTGGCCTTTGTCTTTAACCTGAACCCTGAGTCTCATGAGGGGGCTAAATACACCAAAACCTAAGTACTGGATTTGGTTATATGCATAGATTACAGAATTGTCTGTAATCAATTCTGAAATGTGCTGTCCTTCCTGGTTCCCTTGCCAATATCCCTTAAATAATAAAATAAAGCTTTGTAACTATCTTTATGGCTCCCCAGTTTTCTTTTAATACCCAGATTTCTTTTATAATCCATGCTGATTAATAAGGTATGGTACCTTTTTCACCCAAAGCACATGTCTTTAAATAGCTCTTGCCATGCAGCAGTTGTGCAATTCAGGCGGTTTCAAAAATGGTTCTGAAACTGACAGACGTCATTGTCTCATAAATAGGAAGGTGCTATAGCTAGGTTAGAACCAAATAGCATATCCTGGGTGGTAGCTGCATTATACTATCCATAAATAATACCTGCAATTGATCCTTTTTCAAATTCACTGAATGATATCCTAAATGTGTAGAACCTATTAAATGCCTCTGGAATGGCTTCCATTAGCAGATTGGGGTAAGGTCATTTTTCTTCCCTATATCCATCCCTTGTGTAACTTCCACATCTACACAACCCTGGGAACAGAAGGGAGAGAAAATTATGTGAATGGAAGTTATTCGTGCTTAGTTGGACTCTGCCAAATCCAGCTACATGGAAAAGGATATCTAAATTGCATTGCTAGCTTCCTTGAGAAGAGTTCTTGTATTTTGGGGTAAAAGAAAATAGTCTAGTAGCCTTTACTGAAACAGAGTTTTCAGTCCAAGAACAGTTGGAAAAGGTTAAACAAAGCTAGTGCCATGTGTTCTGATTAAAAAAGTAGATCAAAGACTATTCAATCTTGCCCATACAGGAAAACCACTGTTACAGAGTCTGAAAAATGGCTGACCAAATTCAGAGTCCAAAGGAGATGAGATTTGCTAACACCTTGCCAATGCAGGAAAACCACTGCTACAGAATGGGCAGGAAAACTCACAGTCCTTAAGTAGATATGATTTATTAACTACTTAATAGGTTATTGTAAACCAAGAATGCATGTCTTAGGTTCCTAACATACCATATTTATTGCCATCTTTAATTTGAGTTCTGTTAAATTGGTCTGTATAGAAATCTTACTGAGTTTGTCTGAAGTCAAATGCCTTGCCACTTGTATTTTGTGATTGTGTTAACCCTTTCTATAGAATGCCACATTTCCACAGTCCTTTTAGAACTATTTACAATTCTCAACAAAATAATCAAGAATTATCAAAATGAAGGCAACAATTTGTTGATTTTGTTTTAAAAAAGTCTCTCCTTTCAACCATTTTCTAGTTTAAAATAATGATTCGGACTAATATATATGTATATATTTCTTAATTTCAGGGAACATTTGAAAAACTACCCTAACCACTGAAAATGAAACGTGATTTTAATTATACCCATGTTTACTGTGGAACTTCACCATTAAAACTAACTGGAACAGAAGCAACACCAGAAGAGCCTTGCTCCGAGAGTTACAGTGAAAAATGCAAAGGCTGTACCAAAGAAAAGCTGTTCTATGGTGACCTGCATCATGGAAGTCCCAAGAGTTTTAACCTCAAAAGTGGAGAAAAGCTTATGCATAATAAAGAAAACCAAAAAGTATCATGGGGGCATATTGAGAGTGCCAATGAAATTGACAATGAAAACGAAGACAGTGGATATTCATCTTTGTTGGGTATTCAGCAAAAACCCAATGATAATGATGACAGTGTGCTATTGGCAGGGAATATCGACAATTTACCAAATCATAGTTTCAGTCCAAGAAAGAATTTACTACCAGTCCTCCATTTTGAAGAACTTGTCTGCTCAACTTTGAAAAAAGCTAGCAAGCAGAATCCAAAGTCATGGGCCTTTGTCTTAGAAAAAATGGCTTCAGGGAAAATGGAATTTGTGAATCTGATTGGCAAAAAAATAGGATTAGATAAACTAGATATTCTTGGAGAATTATTTCATGGAAAATTCAGACACCTGATAGCAAACATCTTAATACATCTTAACCATACAGACTTGATAAAGTAAGTTCACAATGTTGTGTTTTCCCTTGGCAAAATAAATATAGGTTAAATTATACTGTATTAAATTTAAATATTTTCTTAAAGCCCACGATATGTTTTCCTGGGCAAAATGCTAGTTTTCATTATGTGAAAATATTTCACAAGGAGACTGAAGCTATATTCAAAAATGTATTTCATAAATGGAATAAGATTTACATATACCTTACAGCATAGGCTGTATGCTCATGTAAAATAACTATTGAAGCAATAGTTATTTTTTCTAGTTATAGCATTAAGGCTAAAAAAGTACTGAAGAGAATTTAGACCTTTGCAAATGGACTAGGATGAGCTTTAGAAGTAACTCAAAGTCATTGTTGGGGCAAAAGAAAATGTATTCCTAAAGGTTAAGCAATGAAATTTTTTATAATTTTTCTTTTCTACATTTTTTAAATGAAATGGTGACCCTTTCAGAAAAGGATTGGGGTTTTTCCAGTGTCTACATTGCTTTAGTTGATACTTTTCTATATCTTTAAGGAGGCAAGTCCACTAAAAGCAATAAGCAGGACAGTTTTTTTTAAAAAAACAAAAAACAAAACAGCACTTATATTTGTGTTATATGTGTATTGAAAGTTTCTAGGATTTCTGTTAAGTAATAATTTGAATGCTGTCTGATTTTAACCATGGGTTTTCTTTCTACAACAGCATGGCTAAAGTTAGCATTACATGGAAGAAAATTCTTCTTAGTGACAAGTGGGCTTTCCAGATGTATAACAAAGCACTAAAACTCAGTTTGGTAAGTTTACTGCTTCTATATCTTTATCACAGAGACAAAACCGAATCCCTCTAAACCATACAGCAGGATGTAGGAGTTTAATCATGCAGTTTCTGTTTGTAAACAGTAGAAGTGATTCAAATAATATAAAGAACAAAAATTTAATTTTTATATGTAAATATTTTTAAAAACTTAAAAATAATGTGCAAGAAAATAAATTTGCCAAAAGAACCATCAGAAAGATCTTCCTGGAGAATTGCTGTCTCCAAACATTACTATCTACACAGTCCCTTTCTCTGAAGGTGTAAAGTGCAGACAATATCATGTAACAGGTGGTCCCAAACTGACTGGTTAGAGGTCGAGTGACTGGCTTTGGGTAAAAAGGCTAAAATAAGAAACCACTTTAAATTCTATAACATAAGTTAGTTTTATGACAAACAGAAAACAGACTTTTCTCCAGAGGGAATCAAGTTGGAGATTGTAAGGGGAAAAAATATTAGTTAAATGTTCAATTCCCCAGTAATTTCTGAAAGGCTTATTTACTGTACAGTATATGGAGAGATGAAAATGCTGGGTGAGATCATCTGTGGTTTCGGGGTGAAGTACCACCAGTACGCTGATGATACTCAGCTGTACATCTCCACCCCGGACCACCCCAATGATGCCCTTGAAGTGATGTCCCGGTGCCTGGAGGCCGTGCGGATCTGGATGGGGAGAAACAGACTCAGGCTCAACCCATCCAAGACCGAGTGGCTGTGGTTTCCGACATCCCGATATAGTCAGTTGGTGCCATCACTGACTATTGGGGGTGAGTCACTGGCCCCCACGGAGAGCGTTCGCAACTTGGGTATCCTCCTGGACTCATGGCTGTCTTTAGAAGAGCACATGACGGCCGTGGCCAGGGGGACTTTTTATCAGGTCCGCCTGATTCGCCAGTTGTGTCCCTTTCTGGATCGGGACTCGTTAAATACGGTCACTCATGCTCTCGTTACTTCCCGCTTGGACTACTGCAATGCTCTCTACATGGGGCTCCCCTTGAGGAGCACCCGGAGGCTCCAGCTCGTCCAGAATGCGGCCGCGCGGGTGGTTATGGGAGCGACATGGCGCTCCCATGTGACCCCCCCTCCTGCGCGAGCTGCACTGGCTCCCGGTGGTCTTCCGGGTGCGCTTCAAGGTTTTGGTTACCACCTTTAGAGCGCTCCATGGCATCGGACCAGGGTATCTACGAGACCGCCTTCTGCTACCAATAGCCTCTCACCGACCAGTACGCTCCCATAGAGAGGGGCTCCTCAGGGTGCCGTCGGCCAAACAGTGTCGACTGGCGGCCCCCAGGGGGAGAGCCTTCTCTGTGGGGGCACCTACCATCTGGAACGAGCTCCCCCCAGAGATACGGAAGATCCCGGACCTGCGCACGTTTCGCCGTGCTCTCAAAACTTTTCTATTTCAGCAAGCTGGCCTGGCCTAACTCCCATTTTTTAAATTTTTTAATTTGTGATTTTATAAATTGGGTGTTTTAATTTGTGTTTCGGCCGAAATATTTAATAATTGTAAGGGATTTTTTTAATATTTGTATTATCTGTATTTTATCTTGGCTGTTCACCGCCCTGAGTCCTTCAGGAGTAGGGCGGTATAGAAATTTGATTAATAAATAAATAATAAATAAATAAAATGTGTTATGTGCTAGTAATGAATTATTGTATTTTCAGACAGAAGCAAATCATTGTTTAATGGTTTATTAAAATTTCTTTTCTCCACAGAATAGCAACACAGTAGCTGCAAAACAATCTGATACAAGGGCATATGCTCTGCATCGTGAACCATTAACATATATTCAGAAAGTAGCATCTTCTAAAAAAACATCCCGAATGAAAGCAAACACTCAGAATAATCAGGCCTCTTCTTTCAGCCGGCATTCACAATTTTCTGAGGTAATCTACAAATATTTTAATCTTGATTTAATATACTGAAAGTACAGGAAACCAGTTATTAAGATTGTCAAACTTAGCTACAGAACCTTTTGGAGCATAAGCAAACTCAAAGGCAAGAGAAAAAATAGACTATGCTTCTAGGCAAGCTCATAGAAAGGAGTTTTAGTATGACAAAGTTTGCAAACCTTTGATATCCACTTATTAATGTGTAATAATGAAAAGTTATGAACTTAGTTTGAATGAGTCAATCAAATCATTAGCAATAGGGGCAAGAAGTTGCATCAATTTTTAATTTTAATGTTTTAAATAATTTGTAAATTGCTCAGAGTCCCTGGGAGTTGAGCAGCCATTAAATAATTACATTTTACAACGGTAAATTATTGGTACAATACTCCACATTTAGGGACTACCATAGCTAGTGACCATTTGCAAATAAGATAGTAATTTAAAAAATCATTTCCCTAGCAATAGTATTTAGACTTATATACCGCCCTATAGCACTTTACAGCATTCTCTGCGCGGTTTACAACGAAGAAGCATTATTTGCATATTGCTCCCAACAATCTGGGTCCTCATTTTACCGACCTTGGAAGGATGGAAGGCTGAGTCAATCTTGACTTCTGTCAGGATTGAAGTCAGAATGTGGGCAGAGTTTTGCCTGCAATACTACATTTTAACTACTGTACTTCCAGGGCTCAATGGGGTATTTACCACTGCAGTATTTACAGCCAAATTTCATGTGCCCGACAACAAAAGTTTTCAGTATGATTATTGTGCTCTGGTCAGTTTGAAGCTGCAGTGCCAGCTGGCTAGAGATTTCTAATCAACTAATTTAAGCTCACAGAACTGAGTTTATTAGCCTGAAGTTAGGGCTTTTTAAGAAAGTGCTACATTATGGAGAAAAGCAACTCAGAAAGCTATAGCCTGTTTATGCAATCTCTGTCTCATGATGGGGAAAAGATAAATCAGGCACAAGGCATTGTACAAGAGAACCTCACCTGGATGAGGTGGCAACAACCAGTGACCTTTACAGCATCTCTTTTTCTCAACCACATGTTGGTTAGGAGTCATTTTACCTATTGAGAAAATCACAAATAGATTTGTCATTAAACAAGGACAGAGTATATTGTGAACCTATCTTTTCTAAACATGTTCCATGTGGTTATTCCAGGAAAATGGTAAAAAAACAACTTCAAAACTACATCCTGGATTATGTTGTTTTTGTTTCATTTTTTTTTTAGGTTGCAAAGACTTTGAAAAATACTGAAAGTCTGAAAGTTTGCCGTCGGTGTGGTTCTCCTGCAAAATATGATTCCTATGTGCAAAGAGCAATGTGTGTCCGAGAAAGCTGTGGTTTTGACTTTTGCACAAAGTGCTTGGGCAGCTTTCATGGTTCCAAGGATTGCATCATTGGAAAGCCTGGAAAAACATCTTTCAGACTAGAACCTCTTCCTTGTAGCAAAAAAAGCAAACAGAATTTACGGAGGCTATAATTTTCCTGACATAAATTCTAGCTAGAGTATCGTATTTTGCTTGTAGGTTCAGAAGAGGAGTGAATGTGAAAGTTGTGGTTGTCTAATTTAAAAAATGCCGTGATTTTAAAAAAAATCAATTTTAAATATTTTTTTCAGATGTCTTCCTCTCGCCTTTTTAGAAGAATGTTCAAAATTTTTAAACTACTTCTAGGTTTACATGGGAATTGTACATGGCAACCTTGACTAAACAAATAGACTGACTGGATTTTTATTAAGTTGGGGGTAGTAACATTTATTTTTAAAAGTTGCTTGTTATATGGCCTCTAACTTCGTGCCTTTATAAAAAGCCTTTCAGAGTTTTTACAGTACAATCTATAATAAGCAAATGATTTGCAATGCCAAATTTTAATTAACTGAATTTCATCTGATTAAAACATTAAATATATAAATAGGAGAAGTTTTTATAACCACACTTGTCCTGATAGCTGCTGAAACTTATTGTTGTCCTGTCCCATTTCATCTTCATTACTAGGTAAAGATGCCTAGAAATGTATATAGTTGTAAATACTTAAATATTTGTCTGTCAATATGAAAAATAAAAATTATCTTTATAAATAAAACCATCTCTGCTATTTGAATGTTATAGCTTTTAAAGATTAATGATACCTCCCTGTTAGCCCACTAATCACTTCAATTCAATGCTTATTAGGTTGCCCATTGACATACCTACATTGTACATGACTATGCATTTGGAAGCTGGGTGCTTGGCATGAGCACAAACTTGCTCATGTGGGTGTACACAGGTCTTTTCTAATTACTAAGCTATGCTATATGAATAGGAAGGAATAAATAGAATCTCCCTGCAGAGATTCGTCCTTTGCAGAGAATTATGTTCATAAAAGGATAGAGATGTTAACGCTATAATTCTCCAGAGGTTGAGGTATAAAGCTGTCAACATACTTTACCATTGACAACCATCTGAGGCTGTTGTGAGTTATAATTTGGTGATGCCTTAGCTTTTCACTCCTGTTAAAGAACAGATCTTTTCCCCATTATATTTAGGGCAGAACAATGCATTATTCCCCTCTGCCCTGAGATCTGGTATATTCCATTTTGCTGGCCTTTATTTCACAGAACAACACAAAACATTTCACAGCTACAGAAAGCAACCAGAAATCAAGGCATTTTCCCTCTTTTATTTTTTATCCCAAAGCTTAAAAAATACATGGGTGGTAGTTCATACTGACAAACTGCTACTTTACCACCCAATATATAGATTAAAAACTGGCCAAGGGGAAGATTTTTAAAAATTTCTCAGCCTAACTCAACCTCACAGGATTGTTGTGGAGGAAATAGGAAGAGGGAGTATTAGATAATGTTTGCTGCCTTGAGTTATTTAATCTTTTGGGCACCAGGGACCGGTTCCATGGAGAGGGGGTTTTCTGTGGACTGGTGGGGACGTGGTTTCATGTGCTACCCAGTTTCTGGGCCAGGGGTTGGGAATCCCTGATTTATAGAATAAAGGTGGGATTTTAAAAAATTCCTTTCAAACAATATGACAGCAACCAACTCTGTAGATCTTTTTTTCACTTAAAAACTTCTGAAGCTCAGCCAAGCACTTAGATCACATTTCAAATACAACACTATTTGTTGAACTTCACCTACTGTTTTGTGTAAAGCAACACCTACTTGGATTTGGCTCTAGCAGGATGGAGGTTCCATTAGTCACTACAGCAGCAGTTTAACAATTACAGCATGACTCAGCTTTACAATGATTCAGCAGCAAAGCCTTAAAGCCACACAATACATATTCATATTAAAGTCACAGTACACATATATTGCCTGGACAACTTGTTAGGCTCAAACCATATCCTAACACCTACAGTTTTATTGACAAGATTTTGGAAATAGTTTTTCCTTACTTGCTTTCTAGATCTAAGAGAGAGGGATTGGGCCAAGGTCATCCAAGGTGAAATGGAATTAGATCTCATGATTTCTAAACTAAAGGTGTACAAAGTGCTTGGAGCTTGAGGTGGTCATCCTGAGTGTTTCCAATTGAAAACAACATAGTTTAGTCAGATTTCCATTTGTGACACACCCCAAAAGATCCTGGTTTTATCCTCTATTCAGAACAAACAATTTCAGTGTTGTTTCAAGTGTTACAGCCACCTCAAGTGCTGTGATTGGCATGTTCTTTTGCGTCATGTGATGGACTGTTACTGCTCCTTCCCTGGTGAATATTTGGGTACCTGCTTTAGGTAACTCCTCCAAATTCCAGATTGTTTGCTTAATTAGCTAAATTTTAGTTTAAAATCTACTGTTAGGCTTTCGTACAGCTTACCGCAAAAAGGCTCTACGTATTCTAGTTCCTTCTCTGGAGTTTTCACAGGAAGCCAAGGACAAGTATAATAAAATTTATTGCAGATACAATCAGCTGCAATAATAACAAAGATAAAAGAAGGCTTACATAATCTTAAGGATCTCAGTAGAGAGCCACTTTGGTGTAGTTGTTAAGGCAACAGGCTAGAAACTGGTAGACCCTGAGCTTTACTCCCCGCCTTGGACAGTCAGTTAGGTGACCTTGGACCAATAAATTTCTCTCAGCCGTAGGAAGGAGGCAATGGCAAACCACTTCTGAAAAACTTTGTGAAGAAAACTTCAGGGACTTGTCCGAGAGAAGCAGATACAATTGAAGGGAGGGAGGGGGAGAGAATCTCATTTTCTTTATGTGTGCATCCTGAAGCTTTTAAGTCCCATTTTTCCTTCCCTTCACCTGTGCCATATCAGACTGGTTCTTTTATTATGGAACTTGCAAATTGTTTCAAAACAGCCTTGTTTTCAGACATTGTGGGTCATTAGCTTACAGTTAACAACATATTTCTCCTCTGCCTCCAAGTTCTCTGCTAGGTTATTGAGAGAATGAATTCTTTCAATCAGATATTGTCTATATACTGATGGCAACCTCTTAAGAAGCTCCAGTGTTGGTGTACCTACAATTTCTGAAGGCAAGCCGTTCCACTGATTAATTGTTCTCACGGTCAGGAAATTTCTTCTTAATTCTAGATTGGATTTCTCTTTGGTAAGTTTCCATCCATTACTTCTTCTCTTGCTATCAGGTGCTTTAGAGAATAGGTTGTCTCCCTCTTCTCTGAGACAGTCCCTCAAACATTGGAAGGCAACTATCATGTCACCCCTAGTCCTTCATTAGACTAGAGCAGGTGTGTCAAACTGGTGGCCCACGGGCCAGATGTGTCATGTGCAGGCCACACCCACCCCAGCTCCACGAATGGGGAAAACATCAGAAATGTCATGTGATGGCAATGTGACGCAGCGAGTTTGACACCCGGTGCACTAGACATACTTGTTTCATCATATGTTTTAGCCTCAAATCCAAAATTTTGGTGACCAAAATTGGATACAGTATTCCAAGGGTGGTCTTAGTAAAGCAATATAAAGCAGTACTAACATTCCATGTGATCTTGATACTATCCCTCTGTTGACGCAACCTAGGGTTATATTGGCTATTATTGTAGCTGCTGCAGCAATGCTGGTTCATACTTAAGCAGTTATCCACTAGGACTCGTAGATCTCTCCCACAGTTATTGTTGAGTCAGGTGCCACCTATTCTATACTGGTACATTTGTTTTTTTCTTTTCTTTTCTGATCCCTGCCCAGTGCCCACCACTGCTGCAGTGCAAACTGGGGTGGGGGGAAACATGTTTGGTTGAAAAAACTGGCGACAGGGATCATCCAGAGTTTTCCCTTTGAATCTAAAATGTTTTACAGTTATATTGGGAAATCACAGAAATTGCATAAGGATCCAAGATTTGGGGTAACCCCCCCTTGACTTTCATTCCAAAAACCAATACAGGAAGTCCTCAATTTACAAACATTGGTTTATTGACTGTTAAAATTTGCAACTGCACTGAAAAAAAATGGCTTAGGAACGGTTTTCACACTTATAACCAGAGGTGGGTTTCAGCAGGTTCTGACCAGTTCTGGAGAACCATCTATTCTCTGCCTCCCAAGTCCCAGCTGATCGGGAGAAAATGGGGATTTTGCAGTAACCTTCCCCTGGTGTGGGGTGGGAATGGAGATTTTACAGTATCCTTCCCCTGCCACGCCCATCAAGCCATGCCCACCATGCCATGCCACACCCACCAAGCCACACCCACAGAACCAGTAGTAAAAAAATTTGAAACCTATCACTGCTTACAACCTTGTAGCAGCCCCACAGTTACAGGATCAAAATTCAGACGCTTGGCAACTAGCATTTATTTACGAAGGCTGCACTGTCCCAGGGTCACCTGATCACCATTTGTAAGCTTTCCAGCTGGCGTCCAACAAGCAAAGTCAATAGGAAAAGATAGATTAATGACCACTTGATTCATTTAACAATTGTGGCAAAAAGGTTGTAAAATGGGGCAATACTCACTTAGCCTTGCTTAGCAATGGAAATTTTGGGCTCAATTGTGGTCGTAAGTTGAGGACTACCTGTAGTCATTATAAAAAGACAGCGTATTCCCAATATATCCCACATTTTCAACATGCGTATTTATAACTAAGGGACACGGTGGCTCAGTGGCTAAGATGCTGAGCTTGTTGATTGAAAGGTCGACAGTTCAGCGGTTCGAATCCCTAGTGCTGCATAATGGGGTGAGGTCCCGTTACGTGTCCCAGCTTCTGCCAACCTAGCAGTTCGAAAGCACATAAAAAATGCAAGTAGAAAAATAGGGACCACTTTTGGTGGGAAGGTAGCAGCATTCTGTGCGTCTTTGGTGTTTAGTCATGCCAGCCACATGACCACGGAGACGTCTTTGGACAGTGCTGGCTCTTTGGCTTTGAAACCGAGATGAGCACCGCCCCCTAGAGTCGGGAACGTCTAGCACATATGTGCAAGGGGAACCTTTACCTTTACCTATTTATAACTAGATGTATTGCAACCTTTTCAACTTGCTTATTTTTAACTAGATGTATTGCATTTTTTTAAAAAAAAAATATTATCTGGGCCATTGAGTTTCATTGTGTTTCTTGAACTGGAAGAATTGCGTATTCTTAAGCAATGTTACATTTTCTCGAAGTTTTACATTCTTAGCTATCCCATTGTCTGAAAAGAAAAGAACCACAGGGTGGTGCTGTTGCATATTTTATGACCAAAGAAAAGCAAAGTGACTTGACCGAAGCAATTTCCTTAATCTCAGGTGAATATTATGGAATCAGAAAAGGCCTTATTCATTGTTTTCTTTATGGTGCTATTATGTGCTAGGGTAGAGTCATCACCACTCTAACAAAGTTATAGAAGGCCAGAAAGGAAAGGAAGTGTAGGGAAATTTGAAATTCAGAATTTGTAAGATTCTGAAACTTCATGATCTTCTAACCTATGGTGTTATTAACATTCTATTGATCTACACATACATATTGTTGGAAGAAATGTCCATCTGGGTTCAGTTCAAAGTGGGGGAAAATCACTGGATTCATGGAAGTTGCTTGGAAAGAACGTTTATTGATGAACAGTATCACATAGCTTGAGATCCTGGGCAAAAAGGGCAGAGATGCTGAGAATCCCTCGGTTTTATACCTTCTCTGGCTTTGAACTTCCTGGGGCACAGGAAGAGTATCCTGATTGGTTGCTGTCAGAGGTCATAGCTAGCTTTTTAAGTTGTCTCTGTGTTAAGTTTGGTTGAATCTTGCTGGGTGATGCAATGAAGGGCAATTAAATGGCTCTGCCTGAAGGAGGTAGATCTTTGTTATGTAGAATAGACCAGGCCTTAATGGTTCATTAACAAAGGGGGGGGATGAGTTTCTGCCTCCCTTTTAGGGGAAATATTCTGCCCTTTTAATATTTCCTAAAATATTTCATTTTTCTAGGAGAGGAGTGGGTGCTAACTTCCTTCAATATATAACTCCCACATTTAAAAAATAAATGTTGTAGGGAAAGAGGAATATATTTTGAAAAAGTGAATGGGAATTTGTGGATTAGTACTGGAATGTTTTGATTCTTGATTCTGTTCACATCATTTGAATGTTCAGAATGAATATTGTGTGATTATATGACTGTGATAGTGAAGAGATGTTTCGGGTGTGTGAACCTGGCAATTTCTGAGAAGGGGCTAGGGCTAGGCTATAGTCGTGTCATATTACATATCTTAGCAAAAATTCTTTCACGCAGTAGCTAAAAACACAAAACAATTGAAATGGTACTTCGGTCTTTTTTAATGTTGCTTGGAAAGTTGCGAGAGCATAACGCCTCAACCACATGAAGGGTGTATTTTTTTGGACAGGCGTCAAAGGGTTACTGTGGCATAAGCAGTCATAAAAGTATTACAGTTTTCTATTTCCCTTCTCTTTTGAAATCTAGCATAGTAGGATGGTTAAATATAAGATATTATAGAAGCTCACAATTCAGGTTTTTTTTCTGCACATCTATTGATTATCCGAAGTTTAAAAATACTTGCTTTTTAAAAACAGGATTAAAATATAAAAACTCTTGTTCTAGACATTCTGTCATTTATTCTGTTTCCATCCCTAGTTAGTGTGATGTTTTTAGAAGGTCTCAGAATATAAATACAAAGTAGTCCTCACCTAACAACCACAATTGGGACCAGCATCTCTGTCGCAAAATGATGCAGTAATTAAATGAAACATCATGTGAACGCACCTGAGGTATGCCATCAGTTCAGCTGGTAGTCGTTAAGCAGATCTCCCACAATTGTTAAGCATAACATCATGTGACCATGACTTGCAACTTCGTGCCAACTTCTCTTTGACTTTGATGATCACGAATAGCAATCACATGACAACAGGACTCTGCAATAGTTGTGTGTTCCAGTTGACAATCACCTGAATTACAGTCACATGACTGCAACGGCTGTAAGGCTGAGGACTGCTAAAAAATATATTTTTTCAGCACCATCATAAGTTTGAATGGTTTCTGAACAAGGCAGTCATTAACTAAGGACTACCTATATAGAAGAGCTTATTCACTGATGTTTAGCATTATACTTCCTCTGACTATTCTGATTATCATAAGCATTAGTCAAATTATTATGGTAAAATAATATATTCAGAATCAGAACAGAGCTGGAAGGGACCTTGGAGGTCTTCTAATCCAGCCTCCTGCTCAAGCAGGAGATTCTATACCATTTCAGACAAGTGACTGTCCAATCTCTTCTTGAAAACTTCCAGTGATGAAGCAGCCACAACATCCGAAGGCAAGCTGTTCCATTGGTTAATTGTCCTCACCAGGGGTGAAATCTAAAAAATTTTGCTACCGGTTCTGTGGGCGTGGCTTAATTAGTGGGCGTGGCTTGGTGGTCAGGTGACCGGGTGGGTGTGGATTGTTGGTCAGTTGGGCGTGTCCAAGTCGACGTCACTTCTTTGCCCTTTTTTAACCTACAAAACACAACACAACACAACTGGCTCACCCACAATGTAAAAGCAGCTGTGCTAGACCCAAAATGGCCCCTGCAACAAGCAGGAACCTCACACAGCCACAAAAAGTCCAAAAAACCAACTTTCACACTTTACACACACAAAATTCCACATACAGCTTTGTGAGATTTTGTGTGTTTGTGTAGTTAGAGTGAAACAATACAGAAACACACAAAATCTCAGAAAGCTGCACAAATTTTATTTTATTTTATTTTTATTTTTATATAAAAGCAGCTAAATTTAAAACTTCCTAAACTTTAAATGGCTAGGTCTAATAAAAGAACAACTAAAAAAAACCCCAATTAACTATTTTTTTTAAATCTCCCAAACGGGAAAAAAAACTTACCCAATTGAAGGAACAAGGCAGGCAGGCAGACAGAGCTGCTCACCGATGAGCTTGATTGCAGGCAGGGAGATTCAGTTGCTTGCTGATGCAATAGATTGCAGGGATTACAGCAAGCGAAGCAAGGCAGGCGTGTGAAGGTAAGCAAGCTGGAGGCTGGGGGGGAAAGGATTTTTGCTACCGGTTCTCCAAATTGCCCGCCGCCATCGCTACCTACTCGCCTGAGCTGTTCCAAACGGGGAGCATTTCACCCCTGGTCCTCACTGTTACAAAGTTTCTCCTCAATTCCAGGTTGCTTCTCTCCTTGATTAGTTTCCATCCATTGTTTTTTTGTCCTGCACTCTGGTGCTTTGGAAAATAAATTGACCTCCTCTTCTTTGTGGCAGCCTCTCAAATACTGGAATACTGCTATCATGTCCCCCGAGTCCTTCTTTTCTCTAGACTAGCCAAACCCAAATCCTCCAACCATTTTTCATATGTTTTAGCTTCCAGGCCTCTTTGCACATTCAAAACATGTGAGTGAGAATAAGTGAGAACTGAATTTCACAGGTTGTAAAGTGGCCATAGTTGTCCACTCCTGATCTAGCTGATTACATCCTACCCAGAATAGTTTCAGGGATTCAAATGTGAGTCCAGGAAAGAAATGACCCCTGGTTAACCATCTCTTAGACAAAAAAAACAGGCAGAGAGAAAAAGAAGCAACAGGAATCAGGTCTTGGCCCTATATCTACAGCCTCCTGGTGAGTAGGTCATAAGGTGCAGAAGCGTCACTGGATTCACATTTCCAGTTGATGACACATGTATCAGTGTGTGTGTGTGTGTGTGTGTGTGTGTGTGTGTGTGTGTGTATTCCATTCTCTTCTCTATGGTTCTTCTTCCAGCATGTTTGCTTCTCTAATTTTGAACGTTTGATGAATGTGTGTGCTCAACTTCTGAGCAATATCTTCTGATTTCTACTTCCGCTTTCAATCAATAATGAAAGCAATTGTCCCTGATCCCAGGGTCAGTCTAATTCTGTCTCAGTCTTTCTTCCAAATCGGCTTGCCTTCTCAAGCTTTTTCCTGCATCGCCTGTCATATTTTACCCAGATCATTTGCAAACACTGAAAAGTTTGCTCCTTTGGCTTCTATGTTCACCCTATTCATAGGGCCACCCTATGGTCTAAATTTACATCATTTACCATTTAATTCCCCCCCCCCAAAAAAGAAGTTTAACTCTTTACTCTTTTGCTAGTTGTACAGTATTTGCAAACAAATGAATAAACACTCTTGTTTCTTTGTTCCAAAAATGCCAGAGTATGTCATGGAAATCTGGGGGCCGGATGGGATGGGGGAAATAAAAATCTGAAGATAGCTGGTGTGAGATCACACTTGAAGCCCTGCCCATTTTTTAAAAGCATCTACATCAGTAGTTGGGTGATACTTCGAGACCACCTTCTACTGCATAGCTCCCATCGACCAGTAAGATCCCACAGAGTTGGTCTCCTCCGGGTCCCGTCAGCTAAACAATGTTGGTTAGCGGGCCCGCGGGGAAGGGCCTTCTCTGTGGCTGCCCTGGGTCTCTGGAACCAATTACCTCCTGAGGTCTGGACCGCCCCCACCCTATTGGCCTTCCGGAAAGCGGTGAAGACCTGGCTTTTCTGGCAGACCTGGGGCCGTTGATCTCGCTACAACGATCTTGTGAGACCCGGCCATGGAATGGAGTGTATGGGTTTTTAATGTTCTTTTAAAAAATTTTTACGGGATATTGTTCGCATTATTTTATTTATTTATTTATTTATTTTTGCTGTGAGCCACCCAGAGTCCCTAGGGAGTTGGGCAGCATAGAAATGTGACTAATAAAATAAATCAATACTTACATAATAAATAAATACAATAATACTTACATGCTGAAACAAAAAGAGATGGGGAAAAATGAAGTGTGAATGATACAAATGTTCCTGTTGCTTTCAGATGAAAGATTGGAAGGAAGACATTTCTATACCAAAACCAGATTGATTGTATGTTTCCCCAGGAAGGAGTTAGCAACCTTAATAGCACTAATTTCCATAATCCGTCTTGAGAGGAGTTTAAGAAGTTTTCGGTAAGCAATTTGCAGCATTGGTATATTGATGAAAATAAAAGAAATGAATGCTTTGCCTGAAAAAAACTGGATAGTATACATTAATAGTGCTAAATTGGGTGAATGAGGACGCAGCAAGCCAGGCAGTGAGTGACAACAGCTCTGTTTATTAGGGTGAGAACCCAGCAACTGACCTAAGGAAATAGCTCCCTTTATATACCTTGCAGCTGTGGTGGTCAGCCAATCAGCTGAGGGTCAGTTAATTCAAACTGCCCGCCAAACAAACCTATTTGCATAACATTAACAGAGTTGGAAGGGACCTTGTAGGTCATCTGATCCAACCCCCTGCCCATGCAGGAGACCCTATACCATTCTGACCGATGGCAGTCCAATCTCTTCTTGAAAGCTTCCAGTGATGAAGCTCCCACCACTTCCGAAGGCAAGCTGTTCCATTGGTTGATTGTTCTCACTTTCAGAAAGTTCCTCCTCATTTCTAGGTTGAATCTCTCCTTGGTCAGTTTCCATCCATTATTCCTTGTCTGACCTTCAGGTGCTTTGGAAAACAGCTTGACCCCCTCCTCTCTGTGGCAGCCCCTCAAGTATTGGAAGACGGCTATCATGTCTCCCCTGGTCCTTCTCTTCTCTTCACCAGACTAACCATGCCCAGTTCATGGTAACCGTTCTTCATATGTTTTAGTCTCCAGTCCCCTAATCATCCTGGTTGCTCTCCTCTGCACTTTTTCTAGAGTCTCAACATCATTTTTGTAGTGTGGTGACCAAAACTGGATGCAGTACTCTAGGTGTGGTCTTACTAGGGCTTTATAGAGTGGTATTAGTACTGAGCCTATATAATGAGATCAGGCACATCCAAAGCGCCTTCTGACTTGTCCTTGTATGGCCTGAAAAAAATTAATGGAAGAGGTTTCTCAAAGTACAATATTTATTTTCAGAACACATAGACGTACAAATGCCATTCTTTGTTGTGAACAAGAGGCGCACAGTATTTCTCCCAGGGCTTCCTATTTTACCAATGAAAATGAACTCTAATGGACCTCCCTTTAAATTTTCTGTTGTTACCATCTTTTCCTGAGTTTGTGTGCAGTATTGGTTGATTGCAAAATGGAAACAATAAAGCCTTTTTCAGGTATGCATTTGAACTTGAGGAGAACTTCATACTGAATCAAATTCCAAACCCATAAGAGTTTTTATAAATGCCCCTGGTTTACCTGTTGCTTTCTCTGACCACCTTGGTTTTAGTTGGGTGATCTGAAGGAGATATACCTGCATTTGCTTGAATGAAAGCATCTTCCTTTGTGGCATTATACTCCATTAGATATTCAAATCACATAGAATTCAGGGGTGGGAAAATATGGCCCCTTTATGACCTGTGGACTTCAACTCCCAGAATTCCTGAGCCAGTTTGGCTGTCTCAGGAATTCTGGGAGTTGAAGTCCACAGGTTGTAAAAGGGCCACAGTTGCCCACCCCTGACATAGATAGATGTTTTTATGTTCAAGCAAGCATCTGTCATTCAGACCTCCAAGCTGAACACATGAAATATGAAAGAAACTAGAGTAGGGCCACTTCTGTGATTGAGTCCTTGATTTATTCATACCTGAGAAGGGCAAACTCACCTTCACATCTAAACTGCTTTGCCCATGATTGAGAAACAGCAAGTATGTGTGTTGTTGTTAGAGTGTGGCTATCAAATCACAAGCTTTCTTCTTTTGTGAGTGTAACCTGATCTTGCAAAATGACAATGTTCCTTGTGAATGTTAGACTCCTTTATGCATTATACCTATAAAATGGGAACCTTTTATTGTCCAGTGAGCTGAATGGTATCCTCAAGGAGAATGTTAAATTTGTGTGTGTGGGGGGGGGGTGTTGATCGTAAAGAGTAATTTAAAATTACAGTTGATATTATTCCACATGTAACTTCTAATTTTCATAAGCAGTTTGTGGGAAGGCATTTTTCCTTACTATAATTCAGCCCAAATACTGACAGAAATCTCTCTTTATGTGTATAGTCAAGTTAGGAAAGCTGAAGCATAAATTCTTTATTTCATAACAATTTGTGAAACAATTGTCTATTGGTATATGTTTAAAACATTTTAGAATCTGTATGTCATGAGTGCTGTGGAAATGATGCAATTTAAATAAATTTCTGACCCTTCATCTGTGTTATAAGTTGATTATTTGTGCTACATTATATTTGAAAAGAATTCATTTTGGGAAAGGGAAGAGTACTGCATTTTGTTAGATCCCCAAACACTTACAATTCTTTTTTTTTTTTTATTGCAAAAGTTTTACAATTACATTTTCACCCCATTTTCCCCCCCCATCCCACCCCCCGCTCCCCACCCTAACCCCCCTCAAACCCCCCCTAACCCTCCCCCCCTGACTTCCATGAAGTATAATCCCATCAAAGTCCCCTTTTTACAAAACTTGAACCCCTCAAACCCCCTTAGAAAAAAAAAAAATTCCCCCCCCCCCTCACAGCATTCATACATTTCTATTTTTGTATAATACTTTCAATGAAAAGCTATTTGGTATTTCCTAACTTGATATTTGTTCTGCACATAATCTATCCACTTTTTCCATTCCCATTCATAAGTCTCTTGTGAGCGATCTTTTAAAAATGCTGAAATCTTCGCCATCTCCGCAAAACTGGCCATCTTCAAAGTCCATTCTTCAATAGTGGGTAAAGACTCATTTTTCCAATATTTACCTATCAATAACCTCGCTGCTGTGATCATGTACAATATCAATTTAATTTCATCCAGTGTGAAACCCTTTACTATACCCAATAAGAACAATTGTGGGGAAAATGGAATTTTTCTCTTCAAAACATTCTGCATAACCCACCATATTTTAATCCAAAAAGCCTTAACTTTCTTACAATTCCACCAAACATGATAATATGTAGCATCTAAACAATCACATCTCCAACATTTTGGCTGAACATTAGGATACATACAGGATAATTTCTTGGGATCTAAATGCCATCTGTAAAACATCTTATAAAAATTTTCCCTCAAATTCTGCGATTGTGTAAATTTAACATTCTGAACCCATATCTTTTCCCATGTTTCTAACATCACTGGTTCTTCAAAATTTTGTGCCCACTTAATCATACAATCTTTAACCAATTCAGTTTCTGAATCCCTTTCTAACAAAACATTATAAAGCCTTTTAATATGCATTGGACCTTTCTCTTTTATATGTCTGACCAATTCTTCCTCATGCAACATAATACCAGTTTTTTGGTCCTCTTTCCATCTCAATTGTAGTTGATTATATTGTAACCAAGTTAAATTAATTCCTTCATCCAACAGTGTCTGTAATGTCTTCAACTGCCATCTGCCCGCATCTGTAAAAAGAATCTCTTTATATAAAAACCCCCCGAGTGACATTATATTTGTATTCCACATAGTATGACCAAGATCCAGCCATAACGGTATTTTGTAATCCCATTTGAGTCGGTGCTTCTTCCAAACTCTCATCAAAGAGTCTCTAAGTATATGGCTTTTAAATACTTTATCCACTTTGTTATCATAAAATAAATAAGCATGCCATCCAAATTCAAGATCAAAACTTTCTATATTCAATATTCCAGTCTTTTTCCTTCCAAACCAGTCACTTGCTTGAGTCAAAGCTGCTGCTTCATAATATAACTGTAGGTTTGGAAGTTTAAGACCTCCCCTTTCTGGAACATCTTGCATAATTTTCAATTTCACTCTCGGTTTTTTCTCATTCCAGACAAACTTATTCAGTCCTCTTTGCCACTCTTTCAGTTGTTTATCACTTTTAAGCACCGGAATCATTTGAAACAGAAATAGAAATCTTGGCAAAATATTCATCTTTACTGCTGCTATTCTTCCAAGTAAAGAAAGCTGCAGTTTTTTCCATGTCTCCATATCTTTTTGCACCTCTTGCCACAAAACCTCATAATTATTTTGAATCAGTTTCATATTAGATTCTGCAACCTGAACTCCTAAATATTTAACCTTTGACACAATCTCAAAACCTGCCCTCCTTTCAAGTTCATATTTTCGTTCTTGTGTCATATTTTTGACTATCATCTTAGTTTTTTTCTGGTTCAGTCTGAATCCTGATACTGCACCATAATCTCTTATAATGTCTTTCATCAGGATTATTGATTCCACCGGTTGTGTTAGGGTAACAACCAGATCATCTGCAAATGCCCTTATTCTGTAATCTTCTTGCCTTATCACTATACCTTTCAAGCTAATCGAATCCCTTATTATATTCAACAAGACTTCTAATGTTAAAATAAAAAGCAATGGGGATAACGGACAACCTTGTCTTGTTCCTTTTTCAATTTTGAAATCTGTTGTCAAACTTCCATTAATAATAATCTGTGCCTTTTGCTCTTGATAAATTGCTGAAACCGCCAATATAAATTGATCCCCAAAGTCCATTTTTTTCAAAGTCTTTAATAAAAAATTCCAATCCACTCTATCAAAGGCTTTCTCCGCATCCAAAAAAGCCAGCACTGCAGGGATCTGTTTATTCTTCTCAAGATATTCCAGTAAATCTATCACTTGCCTTACATTGTCCTTCATATATCTACCCTCTATAAATCCCGCTTGATCTTCATGAATCACCTCTTGAATCACTGGCATCAACCTGTTGGCTAATACTTTTGCATAAATTTTGTAGTCATTATTCAGAAGAGATATTGGCCTATAATTTTCCGGTTTTTTAGGACCCGCTTGCTCTTTTGGTATCAAAGAAATATAAGCTGTTTTCCATGATGGGGGTATTTTACCCCCTTGTTGTATATTACAAAATAAGTCTCTAAGTTGTTCCACCATTTCTGCTTGCAAAGTTTTATAATACACTGCAGTCAAACCATCTGTTCCCGGAGCTTTGGCAGTTTTCAGTTGTTTTATTGCTACAATTATCTCCTCAGCTGTTATAGGGTGATTCAGTCTTTCCTTTTGTAAGTTAGTAACTTTTGTAACTCTTTTATTTTCTAGATATTTTTCTATAAGTCCATTCTGTATGTCATCTTTAGCATATAGTTTAGTATAGTAATCTACAAAAACTTCTTTAATTAATTTTTGTTGATAAATTTCTGTCCCTCCAATGTCAATACAGTCGATGGTCCGCATACTCTGCTTCTTCCTTAGGGTGTAAGCCAGCCATCTGCCCGGTTTATTGGCATTACAAAATGTGTTATGCTTTGCATATTGTAAATTTGTTGCAACCTGGTCCGCCATAAGCATTTGGAATTGATCTTTCAAGAGTTTTATAGCACTATGTGTTCTTTTATCTGTTGGATTTTTAATAAGTAACTGTTCTTTTTTCTTTATTTCTGCTTCAATTTCAATTCTTTTCTTTTGTTTATTCAATTTGTGCTTAGAGTTCATGTAAATGAGTACCCCTCTCATATATGCTTTACTCGCATCCCATACAATTTCAATAGGGGTACCCTTGTTCAAATTAATTTCAAAAAATTCTTTCATCTGCTTCTTAAGTTCTATTATATTTTTTTCATATCTAAACAGATTTTCATTTAGTCTCCATGATCTTCTCTCAATTTTTGCAGTCTCAATTTCTATCCATACTGGACTATGATCAGATAAAGTTCTTGGAAAAATTTTTGTTCTTTTTGTTTTGACAAGTAAATCATTTGATACTAAAATAAAATCAATCCTTGAAAAAGATCTATGTCTGTCAGAAAAGAAAGTATAATCCAAGTCTTTTAAGTTATGTATTCTCCAGACATCCTTTAGTTCCAAATCTTCTTTCATTTCAAAAAAAGTTTGTGGTAGTCTAATCTTTGACTTCGCCAGACTTCTTTTATCTAGCTTGGAATCAATTACTCCATTCCAATCTCCCATAATCAAAATTGATCTATAGTCCCATTGCAA